TTGGCCACACCACACTCTGATCTATACAGATGCCTCCCGAATACCAGACAAGACAGGAGTGGCAATATACAACTCCTGCTCCGGGTCAGCCATGTCCGGATCCGTTCCACCCATTTGCTCGGTCTTCACAGCAGAGGGAATAGCTATATTATTAGCACTTCAAAAATGCCCTACAAGTTCCCGAATTATAATTTTTACAGACTCACTCTCTGTCCTGACAGCACTAAATTCTGCTACAGACTCTCCGCAAGGAATCATACACCAAATCATTGTCTCGATGGAAGAGCTCCCACCCTCATGCCAGTCTGTAGACATAGCATGGGTTCCTGGGCACTCCGGGATACTCGGCAATGAAATCGCTGACGCGCTGGCAAAAGCAGCGCTCTCCAGACCGAGAATTTACGATAGATTTACCATTGAAGATACTTATCAATCAATTAAACGAATCCACCAACTATCCAGGCAATCAGCATTTAAGCATAGCAAATACTATACTGATTTTCTTCATTTGAGCCAAAATAAAAACGAACTTCTACCCCTCTCCAGCAGGCACCAGGATGTTACGTTCTCCAGAATCCGTACTAGATCCTATCCAACCAAATCAAAGTTATTCCGCTTTGGACTCGCTCCAGACAACAAATGCAACTGTGGTTCCATCTCCGATATCGATCACATTATTCTGGAATGCCCTCTCTTTGATCAACAGCGCACCACCCTAAAAATACTGCTTGGACCTGGGGCATTGTCGTTCTCATACCTTATGGAAACAACGGATAAACGCAAGCTACAATATCTTATACATTACCTAAAATCTATCCGCATACTATAATCATCCACCTATCTCCACCACCTTGGATATAAGCGAGCTATAAGCTGGAAATTGCAAAAAGCTCCAAAACCGATCGTCGATAATCATCATCATCATCGAAAGAAAAAGAAAATAAATAAATAAACAAGCTTGTAATGGACGTCCAGTGATTATTACTTTAGTTACAGTTATGGCTTGTATGGAATTTTATTTGAAGCAAATATCACCATGCACGGGCGATCCTCTTATAATTTCTTTAGATTCAAACACAAAAGAAATTGGTCGATCTGCCATTCCTGCATTAGAACAGTACACTCAGATATCTCGACGTCATGCTAAAATTACAAAAATAAACCATGGCGAGTGGGTAATTGAAGACCTTAATAGCATGAATGGAGTATTTGTTGAACATAAACTAATTGGTAAGAGAGGGAAGCGCAAACTAAATGTTGGAGATACCATTGGTTTTGGAGTATCAAATGTTGGTGATCCTTTAGGTTTGGTTTGTATATTTATGGTTAAATTAAAAGAAGTAAAAAATGAACCTATTGAGATTGTGACTTTATCAGACGATGAAAACGAAATCAATAAATCTTCCAATTCTAATATTAGCCAAGTTGATACCACCACGGGTGTTGATGCAACACCAAATGCCTCTTCAAATATTTTACCTACTCCAAGGTTCTCATTTTTATCTGAAACAAGTACAGGTGCAACTTCAAATAAAAGTACTCTTAAAAAGAATGCTGCTGTTTCTTCAGCTAAAGTTATGACATCACATAATGATATTGATAATGAAAATAATCTGCCTCCCAATGTTGTTAGTCAAGTTGACATTTCCAAAGGTACTGCTGCTACACATACTTCCAATTTAAATACTTTATCATCCCATAAGCGCTCATCTTTAGCTGAAATCAGTTCAGTAACAAACGATCTTACATCAAGCTGTTTATCTTCTAATTCAACTGCCCTTAAAGAAAGTACTGTAAAAAACAATAATGTTACGTCTAATAATTTGTCATCAGATAAAACTGTGGCATTATCCAATGAGGACAATAATTGTGAAAATAGTTCATCTTCCAAATTTTTTGGCCAATCCATCAGCTCTAAAGAGACTGATAAAACACTCAGACTTTTGAATGTTTCATCTCCTAATTTTTCATCTGTATCTAATTTAAATAGATCTAAAAGCGCTATTTCGAACAATATATCTTCTAGCCCGTCGTCTTCACCAGACAAAAGTACTGTTAAAAGTTTGCAGCAGTTACCTAATAAATGTATTACTAAAACTATCAGGGATTCAGAGGATTCCTCCAATAGGTGTCTAGTAACAAGCGATTTGGATGAGGATGACACAAAATTAATAAAAGAGTGTGCTGTGCATTTAGTTAAATGTGATTCTAGTAGTTTTAATTTGCCAGCCGATGTGAAAAAACCGGCTATTCTGAAGAGGACACTTTCAGATTCTGTAAAAGAAAAAAATACGAAAAAACAAAGAAATGATTATCATAATGAATCTGAAAACTTTCAAACTAATAATAGTCTCACCAATCGAAGAGATTTTAATGCTAAATTACCAAATGTTACATTTGTAGCTGATGAAAGATTGAATAATAAAATGGATGATGATAATAGATTTGAAAATATTGATGATAATATTGGGTACTCTCAGGTAGAAGAAGTTATTTGCATTTCAGATGATGATTCTTATTTAGATTTCACTTCTTCTCAACCTATAAAATTAGAGCCTGTAGATGATGAAGATGAGGATTTTAGAATTCTAGATGAATTACCTGAGGAAAATGATATTGAAATTGAATTTGATTCAGGTGCTAACAGTGAATCAATTGAAGCAATTCATAATTTTATGGAACATGCTGAGTTATCTACCGTAAATATAAAAGTTGAAAAAGGTGATAGCTCAGACCTGGAAAATCTTCATAAAACTCCATTAAATACTGAATCTGCTACTAATGCAATAGAAGAAACATACAATTCAAATCCCAGTCGAGAGTTTGATTGCCATCCCAACACTCTTGAAAAAGGTTCTGATTATGAACAAAATTCTGAAAGGAGAAAATTTAAAGATTCTAATTCATCAAGTTTCATAGATAAATTTGATAAGAGAAAACTAAATTCAAATGTCAAATCTAAATTAAAGATGACTGATCCGTTGCCTATTAAACGCAGAGGGCGTCGATTACGTGGTAGAGAAGAATGGTTTGAACCAAGTGAAGAGGATGGTTCTTCAGAAAAGTCTGAAAGCTTAGGAAATACTAATAATTTTAAAGCTGATATTTCAAATTCTTCAAAGAGAAAACAGAAATATGTTTCTTCACCTTCCTCAGTCAAGAGTTCAAATAAGAGCAAATTACCTACTGAAAAGTCACGTTGCAAACATATTAATTCTAAAGATGAAATGCACCTTACCAAGAAAGAAAAATTAAGAATGATTGAATTAAAGAGAGTGGAACAAGCTGCATTAAATGCCCAACCTGTTTTTAAAAAACCTGCTCCTGTGAAGAAAAGGAATGACAATTTCGGTTCTCGCTCACAGTTCTTAACAGCCCTGCCTAGTGAAGTTGAAGTTGTTGCTAAACCTAGCACTTCAAATCAGAATAAAAAAGAACTGAAAAGTAAACCCTTAGGAAAGAGGGCTATGAACAATGTACTTTCTTCTTCCAATTCTGTATCTAAAAATAATCTTGCGTCTAAAAATGTTCCTGCTGGCCACCATCCTGCTATGAAAGGTTCATCAGTTTCAAATGGAACAGCAAATAAAAATATAACAAATGATTCAAACGTTAAAATGGTAAACAACAAAGCTTTTTCATCTTCCGCATCATCCAAAGAACAGTCAATTTCTAAAAGTTCTGGGTTTGATCCTAGATTAAATAAAAAGCAATTCAGACACCAACCTAAAGATAAAGACATTCAAGTTCCCAAGTGGAACCAAGACAAAACAAATGCACCCATTGCAGTAGTATCTGAAATCTTAAATTCTTCTAAAGAAAACCACAAAAATGTCATTAGGCAAACAGTAAATGCCCATGACTTAAGTAGGTCTGCTTTACCTAAGCATCCTCCTACTGTGAAAATAAGTTTTTATACTGTCTTGGAGAAAATAGTAGGCCTAAATGTAAAATGGATTCTGGAACAAAAGAAGCAACCGTTACCCCCACCAGATGTTAGCAAAGGAGCCATTGAGCTTCCTTTATATTTTGAGTCTTATGAGCATTACATATCAGTTTTTCAGCCAATGCTTATGCTTGAAATATGGGAGGAATTATGCAAAGAAGCTCAACCAATTCTAAATTCAATCAAGGATAAAGTTCTCAATAAATTTTATTTTAGTATAAAAGGTTTTAGAAATGTAAATAACTTTTCTGTATACGAGTGTGAATCTCTGATAAATTCACATTCTCCAAGGCCACTAGAGGGTACATTAGTTATTTTAGAGATTAAGACTGTCGAATCAAGAATTAGTCCTATTTTAGGTTATATTAATAATTACCAAATTGTGAATGCTTCGAGAGCAGAAAAACCTTCCGAGTGGAATAATGTGGATCCACAATGGACAAGGAATGCAGATTTATGGAAATTTTCTATTTTTGCAAAAATTCGGAGTTTATCTCCGAAGCTTGGAGAAATCATGAAAGGGAATGTTGTATTCTCAATTAAAAATAAATTGCGTTTAGCTGATGCTTTAAAGAGTCTTCAAAGTTCACCTTTATGCAGGTGTATACTTAGACCAGATCAAAGGATTTGTTCTGTAGATTATCCTTCTGCTACTCACACTTCCAGAGACTTTAGTCCAAGTCAGAAAGTTGTTATTGAAGGTGTTAGTGAAGAACTTTCGAAACCTAAACAAGAAAGCAAAATGATATTGCTTCAGGGCCCACCAGGTACTGGGAAAACGCATACAATTGTGGGTTTACTGGATAGTTTAATATTTAGTAACGCTGTTTCTAATAAGAAAATCTTAGTTGTTGCTCCATCTAATGCTGCCATTGATGAAATTGGTTGTAGACTTATTGACTTTAATGAAAAAGTCAGTTACACGAAAAGGCAAATTAGATTTGTTCGTATTGGCTTAGATAAAAATATGAATACAAAAATGAAGCCCTATTTCCTGGATGAAAAAGCTATTTCATTTTACGATGAAGAGCGTAAAAAGTCAGAGCGATACAAGAAGCTAGAATTAGATGAGAAATTAAAAAAGATAAAAAAATTGCAGGAAGAAATGAAAAGGCATCCTAGTTATCAGAAAAAGAAAACTATAGACAGTCTTCTACTGCAATACAAAAATATAGAGGAAGAAAAAAGAAATAAAGCAACTGATAAAACAATAAAGCAAATCAAAATGAACATACTCAAAGATTGTAATGTTATTTTGTCTACTTTAGGAAGCTGTTGTCAGGGTATGATGATATCTGCTTTCCATAACGGATTTATTTCATTTTCTGCTTGCATCATTGATGAAGCCACTCAGTGCACAGAGATAGAAATATTACAGCCACTGACATTTAACATTAGTAAGCTCATTTTAGTTGGGGACCACAATCAATTACCAGCTACTGTAAGTTCTCAATTGGCTCTGAGAAAAAATTTTGATCGTTCTATGTTCGAGAGATTTTATATGTATTTTTCAGATAAATCTGTAAATCCAGTTTTCATGTTAACTGAACAATTTAGAATGCACTCAGAGATATGTAGGTTTCCATCAAAATTTTTTTACGATGGGAAACTGATAACCGTACCTGATAACGACATCAGATATCGACATTTTCCGGTTTATCCTTACATTGTTTATGACATTTTAGATAGTCAAGAAACCAACTGTGCATCCTCGAAAACAAACTGTAACGAAGCTAGAGCAATTGCAAGCTTATGCACAGAATTAATTCGTTTGGAGTCGAATGCCACCATTGGTATCATCACTCCTTATCAAGCTCAGGTAAAATTATACAGAGATACCTTACATCATAATCCTGGTTACAAAAATATTGAAATAAATACTGTTGACAGTTTTCAAGGAAGAGAAAAAGATATAATTATTGTGTCTTGTGTTCGTGCTAACAGCTCTTCAGGTGGTATAGGTTTTTTATCTTGTAGAAAAAGATTGAATGTGGCTATAACTCGAGCACGCCATTGTCTCATCGTATGCATTCATTCTCGTACTTTAGAAATCTGTGATTATTGGAAAGATCTTATTAATGATGCAAGGAAAAGACGCTGTTTCGCAACTGTTCCTACTAGTAAAGATATGCCTCAAATTTTTTATGAAACTCTTAGAAAAAGATTATAATGCAATATTTTCTAGATTTTAGTACATTTCTATCTATGCAATTTATTAAGTGAGTGAGGAAAATGAATTTGCTTTGTATATGACTAAAAGATGGATATAGCCAAATGTTATGGCCATGGGTGTCATTGGTGGGGTGTATGTCCCCTAATAAATAAAATCCATATAATCCCCACTAAAGTTTCGAGACTAATGAAAATTTTCATGAATTGTCATCAATTGAAATTCTTTAAAGTGAAAAACAAGAAAAGGATAAAAATAATTATTTTTTTTGTAGGTACTTAGCTCATAAAAATTTATTTTTCTTATATGGGGAGTTTTGAATATTATGACTTCATTTTAGTTTCCACCCCCTCAAAAATTGGGCCTGGGACACCTGTGGTTATAGCTAAAAGTGGCAATAATGCAATATTCTTAGTGCACTTACTCTTCATCAAATGTGTGAAAAGAATGTGCTATGTACATAATTGTAAAAAAAGAAGAACAAAAAAATGTATATCATTACTAATCTGAAATTAATGTGTCGACGAAAAATATATGGGTGTTTCTAATACTTATTAATCTGTATATATTTATACCAGCTGGTACTGTTATAACCGAAAAAAATTATGAAAGCCAAATGTTGCCTGTGTTCATGTAAAATCTTTACCTTTCATAATTTGTTTGCTTAAGTCGGAATAACTTCTTTTTTTTAATCATTAGTTCAAGTTCAAAATAATATTTAGAAACAGAAGGATCTATTCATTTTATACAATATTGTAAATAATTATTGTTATTGTATTTAATTATATTTTTGTTACACTTAACAATTGCTGGGAAGATTTCTATATTGGTATCTGCTCTAAAATAATACCGAATTTTGGTGACCACTGGGTTGTGGTGCGAAATTGGAGAAAAAAAGCTCAAGAGGTTAACAAGCAGGTGACAACAAGCTCTGAACAACAAGCAGGTAAATTTCTAGATATTTAAAAAATTTTTTTTTCAAACACAAAAACCCTTTAGAAATGGTAGTTGGCACGAACAGTTACTGATATAGAAATATACCCTTGTCGAAGAATGTATATTTGATTTTGTGAATAGTATGTATTAACACAGTAATTTTTTCATACCCTTTTCGACTGATAAAGAAATAGTTCCTTTACTTTAATTATATGTTAGAAGTTTGCAGTTTCTATATTTTAATAGACCATTACACTTTTAATGAGTTTCCAGTGCCTTCGTTATAAATTTGATATTTTGGCCCTTTTAGTAAAATTTTAAGCTTTATGTGACACTGGTGATCGCCTATCATCAAGTAGTTGAGCATTAAATATGGAGAGATTTTTAATAAATTGGAAATATGGCCATGGCATATTGCTCTGAAAATTTCAATTTTTATAACAGTTTGTACAATAAACTACATAATTTGTACATAAAACTACATTTTCAAGTCAAAAATGAAAAACTATATTATACAATGCGTTACTTAACATTATAAAACTAAACTTTTACTTTAATGAAAGTAAAATTTTACAAATATTACTTTAAAGGAAAAAAAAGTCTTACGTTATTTAAAATAAAATTTTAAAAGAATTAAAAATACTTCAGAAAGTACTGATTACTTCTACTTTAATTCAAATATTATAAGATTCACTAATTTGGAATAAGTTAATTTGACATGGTACTTCAGTGAGTTGGTTTTTTAGAATTCATTCAACCAAGTCTCGTCTCAGATTAATCCATTAAAAATATACAAAATATATAATTTAAATTCATGCGACCAGGTGGATAAAATTTAATTGTGGTCAAATCTTTGGTTCAAAAGGCTGGGCACAAGAGACTTCTCATTTTTTGTCAAGAGCCTTTAATTAAAATTGTAGTTTTATATTTTTTCACAAAAAGGCACCAAATTTTTTGTAAGAAATTTTAACTGTGGCCTTAAGGAGTCCTGAGACAATTGTTCCTGTCTCTTCCCTCCCTTGAGTATGGCCTTGATGTTGGTTATGTTCTTCATGAAATTATCTTGATGAGCCTATATGAAGTGCATTTGTTCCTTACATACCTTTCAACCTTGGAGAGAAAAAAAAAACGGAGATTTTTACTAGCAAAATTTTTGGGCTACGCGTACAGTTGTAATACATGCAAAAGGCGGAAAATCAAAGCGACCAATGCAAAATAGCAATTAGTTTAAGCACTTTTAACATAGAAAAAAATATGTAAATAAGCCTTAAAGACTTTTTAAACCATTTATCATAATTACATGAACTAAACAGTCAGCATTTAGGTAATTTCTATTAATTGTTAGCAATTATATTTTTCAGTTTCTACTTATTTAAGGAACATATGTAGTTGCTGAGGCCGCACATATAATATTTTTAACAGTTATGTAGGACATTTTTAACTGTTTATGCCAGTTACCAGAAAAATTACTTTTCATCAGAAAGTTCAAAGTGAATATTTTAGAGAAAATTTTTTCTCACTCTCCAATATTTTCTTAGCTGTTTCTTATTCAATCCATTTTCTAGTTGCCCGATTTGAAGAAATATTTCTGTCTTAATTTTAATTTCTTCAAGAAATTTGAGAACATACAGGTAAAGAGGCGATAATTGTTAAACACAGGAGGCTCCGTGATAAAACAGGAAACTTGACAGGTACGCTATTGGTTCAGATATAACTTCATCCATTCAAAAAATGTTTCAAAATTAATCAATATTAAAATGTGAATTATAATTTATTAGATATGAATGAATTATAATTTATTAGATATGAATTTAGGAGTAAAAAAATTGAAGGTTATTCTTTTAATGACCAGAGACAAAGGAAGCACCCTTTGGATATTTTTTTTAATCACTTTTGTTATTTTTTTCATTCATTTTAATAATCCTGTTATTTAGTTGTTCATTCCTGTTGTTATAAACAGTCCATGTGATTCTATTTTATAATGAATCAAACTTGATGGTTAATCTGATGTTCTTATTCAGGAAAATTATATTTTAGTTACATTTTAAGCTATAATGAATGCTTAGTTATAGTTTTGCCTTCAAAATAAAACCTAGGATCACAAGGCTGTTGATTTTGGATTGTTTTTTTGTGCAACTCCTGTACCAGTATTATATAGCTGCAGAAAATTATATGTGTAATTATTTTGTTTTTCTATATTATGCCAGAACAACCAATATTGAAATGTTAGTTTTTAAAAAAGTGTCCTTATGATATATCAGGGAAAGCTATTGTTTATTAATTTGTTGATAATAAATGGATTTTATTTAGCCTAATACATAACCTATCACCAAACATCGACATAAGATTATGCATTAAGTGACAGAATTAATTTTCATGTTATTGTCAATAACCCTATAAAGCCAAATGTGATTTGAGAAATAACTCAAACTTGTAATAAATTAGTTGCTTTTGTGTTGTGTTTTGTATATACAATTTTTAAATAAATAGGATATTCATTTATCTTTCAATCATTATCATTTGTACTTATTGTTAATATTTTACAATGTTACAGAACACTATTTAAATTGGTGTAAAAAAAAAAGTTATATTTTCAAATTATGGATTTTTGTTAACACCTATTTAAATTTCTCTAGATCAACATTATAATTTTGAAGAATAAACACACTGTAGTAAACTTAAAGTTTATTTGTGAAAGAAAAATTTCTTTTGAATGGAAACTAAGTGAGGTGATGTCTATCAAACCTTGTGTAATTTTAATTTAAGCAAGAGGCTAAAAATTATTTTAATATGTAAAGAATAAGGTTTAGAGTTTATAGGTCTTTCTATAATAAGAGAGAGTGTTATATTTTAGGTCTGTTTAAACTTTTTTAGAACAAAAAAGTATTAATTCGAAAAACTAAGAAATTTTGTAGGGAATACATAATATGCTTGTTCAGTATTAAAACTGTTTCATGAAGAAATTTTATCACACAATTAAACAAAAATGTTTTTCAGTTAGAAAAATGGTCTGGTCCCCATCGATATTACTTTGAATGGAATAATATTCTAACAACATGCGGTTCACAGAAGCAATAACACATAAATTCAATTTGGGTATGTGAGAGTAGTTTGTCCAACGTGTAGTTTCTAAACACTCGCATGCAATTGCACGTCTAGGAGACAGTGCCCTAGACTGCCCTTTAGTTAATGCTCATTCTAAGTAGTTTAAACTTGTTAGTTGATTGAATTTGAATATTCATGAAATTAAAACTTAATATGTTGCATGCATAAGCTAAAATAAGAATTAAATTAAATACAACACCTAAGAATATTTTATATTTTTTTTTAAAGTCAAAACAGTCTCAGTTTTCTACCTTGGATCAGTCCAAGCTAAAATCTGTGACAGTCAATTCTTTTTGTACCTGTAGCTTAGTATAAAAGAAAATTAGTTCTCATAAATGGTGCTAAAAATGTTATAACCCGCTCATTTCTTATGCTCAAGTAGCATCGTATTATTTAATTAAAATTCTCTTTTAGAATTTTTTTTTCATTACAATATTTAATTCATAATAAACACTTATCAACACAAATATTAAAAATCTTCCTCAGAGAAAGTAACAGCTCCTTATCTATATAGGTTGTTTTAATTTTTATATAATCAAAACAAATAAAGCATAGTTATTTTATTCATTATTTTAAACATACAACTGACATTGAACAATGCCAGATAATTACTTAATCTGAACTTCAGCTAAAGTTAATGATTTAATAACCCCTTTATTAACTACTTTCAACTGTGCTGATTTATACGTTGCAATAAAGTCCTTATTAGTTTTCAAATCAGGAGCAACTTGTTCAAAAATTTTCTTCTTTGGTGGAAGCAGTTGATCTGGTTCACCAGGATATTCATCACAAACCACTTTATCTCCAGGTACACAATCAGCTGGTGGACACAGGATTTCAACTTTATCTGGTGTGGAAGCGCACATCACCATAGCTTCAGAAGTAATTCCCCTCATTTTAGCCGGTTTGAGATTACACAGCACGACCACTAAACGATTTTGCATCTCCTCCAGAGGCACAAACTTTACAAGACCAGAAACAACAGTTCTAGGCTTATCTTCCCCCACATCAATGTCTTCTACATATAAGCTTTCAGCATCAGGGTGTTTTTTTGCAGACAGAATACGCCCTATTCTCAAATCTAACCGACTGACGTCAATCTCTTTACCTTCATCACTTGCTTGTTTTTCAGACTTTGCAGGTTTCTCACTTTTTTCTTTCTTTGTCTCTTTTGGCTGTTTACCTGATTTCTTTGACTCTTTGCTTGGTTCTTCTTTGGTATTTTCAGCAGTTGGCTTAGACACGACTGTTTCTGTTAGTTTATTTGAAGAGGAATTGGAAGAAGACACATATTCCTTGCTGTCTTTATCCGGCAAAGAATATTGCTCAATACCATTCATCATCTCAAGCTCGATGACACGTTTTTTAAAGAATTCAAGCTGTGCTTTGAGTAGCTTATTTTTAGCTAAAATATTGGCCTCAGCTTCCCTATTTCCTTGCTCAACCATTGCCTTACGAAGTGCAGGAATTCTTTGCTCAATGAATTTTACTAATTCTTCACCATGGGCATTATTTTCCTTAATGCGTTTAAGGATATCTTCTTGACCCATAATTGGTACTTTGAATAGCTGAAATAAAAATTTAGAAAACTCATAAGAAAATTTAAAAGCTATTATTGGTTTCTTAGCAGCTAAATCACTTTAAGCATTATAACATACAATTTAAAATGAAAGCAACTTTAAAACGCCATGATACGTAATAAATAATTTATAGGAGGTAGGGTTTGAATTAAGAATTTAAAATAAAAGCAATGTTTTCCAGGGATTACATAATCATATCATGAATACATTTCACCTTTAAAACAAAAAACATCAATTGAGAACATAGGAAATTTTTTTATTATAGTAGTTCTGTCAAGTTCAGTATTAAAATTTCAATGTCAATAAATGTTTTTTTTCTCTTTCTATCATATTATCTTTAAGGATGCTTTTTAAGGCTCTGTCGTTGCATCAAATGTTTTTTTGTTGAAAAGTATAATATTTTTATAACTTGAATTTGTAACTGTTCCTTAGCTAGCGCTATCTATGATTATTCTGAAGATGGCACATAACACCAATATGGAGAAAATAAAAAGCATTTGTGGTCTAATTTTTTAATATTCAAAAACTTCTCCAATGCTGCAAAAGGTATATAATAAGGTGGAAGACCTTTTGAGTTAGTTACCTCTAAAGGTCTTCCACAAAGGCAAATTTTTCTCAATACTTGATCCAGGAGTTCCCTTGTCTTCTGGATTGGGTTGGTTGTGCAAAGACAGTTATAAAATAAAATTCTACTAACTATACAGAATAAACAATAGGATTTCGGCTTTGGTACCTGTACCAATAAAGTCTCCAAACTTTTACAAATACAGGGAAATAGTGTACAAGATGCTGGAAAAAATTAACATAATAAAAGAAACCCTCCTAAATACTATATATTTTCTTTCATTTTAACTAGTTTAAAATTTTTTCCCACTTTGTACTGGCATATAAAGGCACTAATGCGTAAACATTCCCTACTAAATTTTTGCTAGTTTGCCAAAGGTTGCTAGTTTCAGGGATATTTTAGAATCGTGATTTGTCCCTCCAGATAGATAAATTAAAAAAACAAAAACATGTAGACTTTCCAGGGGTGAAATACGAGGGGAGATTTCCGTATCCTGATCTGCGGCAGAATAATCGCTAAGTCTTGGAAACTTCCAGGCAGTGGCCTGCGAGAAACTAAAAAAAAAAAAAAAAAACATCACAGGAAGGGGCTAACTCGAAAGGTATAACTCATAGCACCTACATGTTTTCATTTTAAAAAATTGATAGTTTAAAATCTATTTGGTACCTTGGCGATTGTAGTTGGCGTGACAGATCACGACATGGATATACCCCCAAATACGAGTTATACCCTTCAAGTTGGCTCTTTCTATGATGTTTTTTTTTTTAGTTTCTAGCGAGAAGTTGAGATCACGATCTGGAAATTTCCCCCCAGTACTATTAGAGTTGCCATGAATTTAAAAAAAAAGTTTTTCACGTATCTTAGGAGGTGAAGAGCAGATGGCCAAAATTTCGACGTAAAGAAATATAAATAAATAAAAAAGTAAAGAAAATAATAAAAAAAAAATTAAAATAATTTTATGATTGACAGTGGGAGATAAGCATGCAATTAAACACAGAACTACCTCTTTATTTTTAAACCTTGAAAATAGTTTCGCGATTTTGTCACTAACACAAATTAGTTTGAGATCACTTCGCAGAAATATTGGTAAAGTCAGCATTATTGTAGAACAGATTTATGATAAAATTGAAAATTTTAGCATTGAAAAGAAATGAAACTAAGAGTCAAGTTAAAGAATAAGGTTGGGAATTCACTCACAATTCAACTGATGATAATAATTAGAAAATATACGAATTATTTTTTATACACGATGTGTGTATTTTAAATAATTATTCGCCTCCGGCTACTTAATTCTGTGCAAAATCCGAGCTAGGATATGTTTAATCAAGAGAGCTGTTTATGTCGATACTGTCCGTTTCAGATGAAAATTTTGCTTGATTTCAATTTTTTAAAGTAAATTTCAATGTGAAATAAAATGTAAAATTATTTAAAATTAATATTTTCAAGCAATTTTCGTAATTTGCATATTTGTTTTGTTTTCACTATATCTTGTGATGTTGTCCGAAGTCTTTTCGTGACTTGACCCAGCGAAATGAAGTGAGTTTCGTCTCTGTCTTTCTTAATGTTTGTTTATTTATTATTAAAATAAAATTTGACAGATTGCTGAATTTTTTAATTATTTTTCTATCATTTTTTATCTTACTCCATTAATTGTCTTTATTTTATTTTTGCAAAACCTTATTCCGCGAAATCTGATATATAAGTCAGGCTGTTAACATCAATTGCGTATTATTTTATTATTGACGCAGATATTTATATCTTCATAATTTTTACAAAATCTATATTTATGTAATTCTTTGTATCTTAAATGCTCCACGAACGCTTGAAGAATCACATGATAACGCGCTTTATTGTTGCCGTCAAAAGTACAAATCCGAAGTGACAGGTGTTTTCGTGATGTCACTGAAATAGTAACTTTATTATGGATTTTCATCGCAAAGGTTTCAATGAATATGAACAAACATGAGTCATAAGTACAATGTTGAAGTAGAAGCTGAACGTATTCATCTTCGTGAAAGGTCTAGGTAAATATCGTGGCTATTTATTTAAAATGTGGATTTATTAGTTTCTGGCTTGCATAAGCATGTTGTATTCCTTTTCCGGTGACACTATTTAAAATATGACTTACTTGTTAAAAACTTCTCATACATTTAATTGAAGTTTTACCAACTTTTTGGATAAATGTTTAAATTGACAAATCTTCATCCTTTTTATTTAAAGTCTACTTTGATGAAGTTTGTATGCTTTGTCACTATGTATAGATTTTATTTTTAAATCAAGCAGCTTCAGCTTACTATAAAAACATTTCTTAAATGTCTTTGTCAATCGAAATTCGATGTTTTTAGAAGTAAGGTTTTTTAACAAATTTTATTTGGTGTAGGATATAAATATCTAATGGGGTAAGAGTAACTGAAAGGGTTTTAATTAGTTTAGTAACTGATTTTAAACTTTTTTATATCAAGAAGTTATTAATACAGTTTTATAATGTACCTATTAATGTTATTGCTAGTAAATATTGTGTATTTTCTTGATAAAGATGTAATCTTTTAACTAATTATTTTTTTAATTAAAATTATTCTGAAATCTGCAAAAAAGAGTTTTTTTGAATATTAGTCTTAAAAGCAGCAAAAAATTTATTAAAATTGAGAAAAGCTTAAATGGTTTTACTGATTTTAGAATGATTTATAACGCAATTTTAAGCATCTATTTGTATCAACATTTTTTACTTAGTTCTACTTTGATTTTTATTATCTTAAAAGTAGAAAAATAATTTTACTAACTGTAAAATAAATTTTTTTAAAATCGTACGCCGATTAAAATATTCTGTGTATTCTATATAATGGGATAAAGTTTATTTTTATGGTTTCTTATTCAGTGTAACTTATGGTAAAAAGTAGCTAAAATGTAACTTGCAAAAAATCTAGGATATGTGATTAAGTGAAAATTGCCCATACATGATTGCACTTAGAGTGCAAGGGCTGTATTTTTATAAGTAGCCTAGGTTTGAATCATGCCAATGGCTGGTTGATTTGTACATAAGTTGTGATTTACACTGTTTTATCAAAATGTTAGACTACTTACATTAACCAAGTGTATCATTATGAGCCTCTTTGTTTTCTGAATTTTGAACTTTAATAGTTCGTGATACTGTGTAATATTGGCTATTAATTTCCTGTTATAAAAAATTAAAAAAAAAAGGAGTAACTTTGTCTTCACAGTTCTTTGTATTTAACATATGGAATATGAACGATTAACTGTCAAAATTTTTGTTGAATATATAGGAAAATATATTTGATATGGAATTTATTTATTGCTATTAGTTGGGTTCATGGTGTCGCAACATAGTGACAATTAATGCAAAATGTCCTATAAATGTTGCTAAAATCGTATGCATGGAAGCCAATTTGCTGCCTTGAAATAAGTTTGTATTTTACAAAATACTAAAGGTTTTTTTTTACACAGAGTTTGGTGCATTTAAAAAAAACACCGTTGTGCTAATTTTGTTGTTCTGCATGTGGTACGGAATTCAAATGTGTGTTTTTCAAATTTGTGTTACTCAAATGGACTATCTAAAAGTGTCTAAAATGAAAAATTTTAAATTTAAATGTTGAAATTTGAAGTTTACATGTTGTGCTGTGCTTTGCTTTCATGTCCCTATTGTTCATCAAAAAAGTAATATTTTTGCTCTCTTAGGATTGTTAGTTAAAATTTTATGATTTTTAAATGATTTATTTTTAATATAATATTTTGTTGGTTCTTACTTTATCTGTTTTCCTCATTTATTTATTTATTTATTTGGTTTCAGTATCTCTATGTGAAAATCTCTTACTAATATTATTCCAGCTTTTTTTTCACTAAATTTTAATAAATACTGATCTTCTATCAATCATTATGAGGTAATGAACCTAATTAGTTTTAGGGTGTAATAGGTGGAAAATAATAAATTTGATGTGTGTTACAACATGAATTGTTTGTAATTGTAAACTTTTTCTCAAGTTTGTCTACCTTATTAAGTTTTAGAGCCATTAAAGAATACCTAGATGCTCCGATTAGACCATTAACTTCTGTTGCTGGTGTGAACCTTACTCATTTGTCATTATTAGTTTTTTTAAATTTTTTTATCTTGTCCATGGACAATTAAACGGCCTCGTGTGCCTTTCAAAACAGCATCCGCAAGCGTACATCAAGTCATTATTAGTGTTGTCATTAAGTTGAGTAGAATATAAAATTTTTAATTTTTTTCTTGACAATGATTTTCATTCCATCTGATAATATTCCATACTTTGAGAGGAAAATTGGATGTATAAGAAAATTTTGTAGCCTGGAAATTGGATTGACCTTACGTATTTAAATATGATCTGAAATTATGTTTAATTTTTTATTAACTTAATTTTTTTTACTTAAAAAATTAAAAAAAACTTAAATATTAACTTAATTTTACTAATTTACTATTCTTATTTTTTAGTAAAGGTTTGATTAATGACTCTTTAGAAAATGTATTAAGTAGTGATGAAGGATTTGAAGCTGAAGAAGATGATTCTCTCTTAGATCCTCATTATTTGCAACGAGGTAAAAGGAGCTTCAAGTATAAGTTTTTTTGCTGCATTTGTCATTGTATGCAACTTTTTTGTTCAAGGTTTGTATGCAATAAATTTTATCTCACTTTTATGCTTGTATTTTTCACAGTTTCATTTTCTCCTATTTTTTAAAATGACTTTAATCTTATTAAATTTTTCAGAGTTTTATGTAGTAGAATCTTTTAACATGATTAATGTGGCATTGGAATTTTATTTCCTTTAGCAGGCAGTATTTAACAGTAACAGTTGAATTCTATGCCAACTGAAACCAGTAGTAGAATTCCGAGCATAACAGAGGGGAAATCACACAGGTATTTTATCATAAAAAGTGTATTAAACAGGGTGCGTAGCGTTTGTAAAAAGTACTTAAAGGTGCTTTTTTGGGGATTTCGTTTTTAAAAGCTTTTAAAGGTGCTTTTTTCAGCAGGCGTTTTTAAAAAGTGCTTTTTTTTCATGAATAAATTTTTTTTACCCTTCAGTGATATCTGATGGATCCCATGCATTTCACAAAAAATGGGGTGTTTGCTACGTAATCATTCACGCGGACTTATGTCCCCACTGTTACATTGCATTTTTTGAAGTTAATAAAAATGTGTAAGCAATTTAAAAAGTCTTATAATAATTTATTTTTTCTTGAAATGTGATAATTAAAAAAAAAATTACAAATAATGTTTAGGATGTTCCAAATCACAGAATATAGCAGAAATAACAGTGCATGTCCAAAAAGTGGGATTTTCTTTCTCCCCTCTGTTACGGACGCTTTTAACTTTTTGGCAATTAAATTATGAGGCTCTTTTATTATTTTATGCAATTAAATGAAACATTGCACCTTAAACTAGCATATTATTGCACAATTTTTTGTTTTCACATATATTTGATGAATTTTTTAGGATAAAATACCTGTGTGGTTTCCCCTCTGTTACGCTTGGAATTCTACAACACAGAAATTTAGCAGTATTTTTAAATAATATTTATATTTTAAATCTTTGATCGTAAATGGTATTTATTTCATTTTTATTTATCTCTTCTGTTTGTAGGAATTTTAGTTGAATTTTTGGATGTTTAAATTAGTTTTTCTCTGGGCCTTTAGTTTTTGAATTATATTAAATATGACTGTATGTTATTCGATTATGTTGAGAAAATAAGCTGTTTTGAAATGTTTTGGTGTTTTTTGTTTTTGTTTTGAGATAAGCTTTCAAGATATCTGTAAGGTAACCCTAAGTTAGGTTTAATTATTATTTTTTTAGCTGCTTGGGTTTGTTTTAAAATTATTGCATTCTAAATGTTAATCATTTAAAATATTTTCAATTGTTGATCATAAAGTTAATATTTTTTATTTATCTCTTCTGTTTTAAAGATTTTTTCTCTGGGCACTTAGACTTTGAATTATCCAAGCTTGACTGTACATTATTAACTTGTCTTTTAAGTATAATATAATATAACTTTTAGAAGCATTCTAGTAATTTTTTACTCAGTTTTGCAACAAGTTTTCAAGATATCAACAATAATTGGTTTAAGTCTATCCTTTCTTTTTACAGAGCTATAAGTATCAAAATTGTTGTTGAGGTTTTTTCCAAAATCAATTTTTTCAAAATGATTATTTATTGCAAAATTCTCTTTATTTTTTATTTAGACTTCAGAAAGTCATGCCTAAGCTGTGCGGTGAAAAAGAACACAAGCCACGCACTGTGTTCATAGGAAGAAGCAACCATGATGGTTTTCCTCCAAATATTATTAAAAATCAGAAGTACAACATCATTACTTTTATTCCTTTAGTAAGTGCCTTTTTTATTTCAAATAAATTTTGTATTATCCTACTAAAGGACATTGTTTTTATGGTTTCTTTCTAAAAAGTAATAGGATGGTGACTAAATTATTTTATTCTCAAACTTTATCTCTGAGAAACTGGACATAGCTTTTTAGTTAAATTTTTTTAAGGACATTTTGTTAAAATTTTTATGAGGTTTTATTTAATTGAAAAGAACATTTTTTATTCTAGGTGCTGTTTCACCAGTTTAAATTTTTCCTCAATTTATACTTTTTGATTATGGCACTTTCACAATTTATTCCAGAAGTACGGATTGGATATTTGTACACATATTGGGGTCCACTTGTAAGTAGCATTTTTAAAAATGTTTTCTTTTTTTTGTAATTTATTATTTGTCATTATTTCTTTCATATTTTTATGTGTTTATTTAATTAAAATTTGTCATTATTCTCAATATTGTTTTATTTGATTTTAATTTTAAAATTATTTGTATGTTTTTATGTACTAACTTTAAATTTTGAGTGTTTCTAAAAAATATTGTTTTCCAGAGGTGCCAACTGTTATGATTTATCCGCAATTGTTGCAATTTTATTGTCAAGATTAGTCTTATGGTCCTACTAGTAATAAAAATTGCAGTTTTTGAGGATTTTCATAACCGTTAAAAAAAAAAGTTTTTTCTTTAACTAAGAAGAGTTATGAAATTTTGTTGTTTGCAACAATTGTTAAATAAGAAATGTTGATTGTTTAAAAGATACTTTTAAGTATTACCTTTTTTATTTAATACCAAATTCATGCATAATATTAAGTATATATCTATGTAGAATTAAGTAGTTAATACACCTTGAAGTGCACTAATCTCAATTTTTATATTGTGCTTCTGATTACAGATAGCTAGTTTCAAAAGTTGGCCGCTCTGCATTCTTCATATTTGCATAAATTTTGGATTTGATTTCATAAGCAGAAAGCTAATCAAATGATCTATCCAAACTTTTGTAAAAGCTCTTGTTTTTAAATTAGCATTAAATCTGATACAACCAGTGTCCTGTTTTCGTGACAGCTTTATATTAATTTAAACAATAAATAAGTCCTTACAACGCTATTTAACATTCTCACAACTTGCAGAATTTTTATAATTGAAAATTTAGGCTCTGTTTTTCCAGGAAATAATTTGTAAACTAAGCTTTTTTAAAATGAAAAATCATTGTGAAGGAGATGCAATATTTCTTAAATGAATATTTCTTTTATGAAATTTTTTTTAAGAAAAAGTAGGAAATTATGAGTAAAAAGAGGAAAAAAATAAGCCTTATTATTTTTTATGAATTTTTTGAAAAGAATTCTCATTTAATTTACTTTTTAACTCTAGGGTTTTGTGCTCTCAGTCACATTAATAAGAGAAGCTATTGATGACTTTCGTCGGTACTGTAGAGATCGAGAAGTTAATTATCGGAAATACCGCAAGTTAACATCTCGTGGGGTTGTGCAAGTTCCAAGTGCGAATATTAAAGTTTCAGACCTCATTATTGTAGATAAAGTAAGTATCCTGATAAATTTATTTTTTTGCCCCCATTGTGTTTAAATTGTATGTAAATATTGTTTTTAAATTTGACTTTACAGTGAACTGATTTCTCTCTTTTTTGTTTTATTTATTATTATTTTTTTGCTTAGAGTGCAATTGTGCCCATAAACTGGGTTTAAAAAAATGTCTGTTTAATGATTTTACTGTTATTGGCATTCAAAAGTTTTTAGATGTTTTCTTTCTGTGCGAATTTAACTATTTTCACTCATGAAGGTTTGAAGAAGGTCAATTTATTCTAATACGTGAAACAGAGCCGCGATGGCTCAGGGGATAGAGCGTTCGCCTTCCAAAGTGGCAAATCGGGTTCGAATCCCAGTCGATACGAATTCCGCACCCGTCTTGCACCGACCACAGTGCTGACGGGAAATATCCTCAGTGGTGGACGGATCATGGTTTCGAGTCCCCTTGCCATCAGGCTAACCGTGGGAGGTTCTCGTGGTCTTCCTCTCCATGTAATGCAAATGCGGGTTAGCTCCATCAAAAAGAACATTAGTTGTCGTAAACCCATAAAATTGAGTCGGCAGTTTAACGACGATTATAAAATAAAATTATACATGAAACAGTTCTATAGTTAAGTCAGGTTCACTCTATGAAAGTGCCGAGCTAAGCATTGAAAGCCATATACTAGTTATGTTAAAATTGTACAGTATTTTTAATTTAAAAGAAAGTTTCTGTAAGTTTTAAATTGAGAACTTGAAATTTTGAGCTAATTAAGTTAAGTTTTTAAAAAAAAATTATTTTTGATTATCCTGTTTCTAATTAATCTGTTTAATTTTATCATATTTTCTGACCAGTAATTATATAATTATTGGAAAATTTTAGCCAATATATTTTTTTCAATAGGATCAGAGGGTACCTGCAGACATGGTATTTTTATCAACTACTGAGAAAAATGGAGCTTGTTTTATAAGATCAGATCAGTTAGACGGAGAAACAGACTGGAAATTGAGACTTGCTGTCACAACTACTCAGAGGCTGTCATCACCAGAGGTAATTAAACGTAATTTTCTAAAATTATTTAATTTTCAGTTGTTTTTTTGTTAGCTGTAAATGTAGTAAAATAGATCTTTCAATAAGTTATGATTATTTGATTAAAAAATATGCCTTATGTAACTACAATACCATAAAAATGCTTTAATAAGAACACTTTTTAATCTATTTTATACACAGTTTCTTTTCAAAGCTATTTTTTCCCCTTGCTGGGTTTGTAGATTATTTTACAAATAACTGCCACTTTCAATATATCCTTTTTGTTTCATTATTTATAAAAATTAATTACTTTCTTTTATATGAGCCAATTTATAGTTGACATTGTAAAATGGCTAAATTTAGCTTTGTTTTTGTTCTGTATGATTTGTGAAATTCATTTGTAAAATTATTTCCTATATAAGTCTTTTATTTATTAATTTCTATTTTTTAATGTCAATTTTTTAATGTAATTTAAGAGAAAGTTTCTGCGAAGTTTTAAATTAAGAACTTGAAATTTCGGGCTAATTAAGTTTAATTAAAAAAAATTTTCTTTTGATTATCCTGTTTCTAATTATTCTGTTTAATTTTATTATATTTTCTGACCAGTAATATTATTATTGGAAAATGTTAGCCAATATTTTTTTTTCCAATAGGATCAGAGAGTTCCTGCATGCATGGTATTTTTAATAATTGGTACATTAAGACATGGTACATTAATAATTGGTACATTAAGACATGGTACATTAATAATCATTATAGCTATTTTTACAAATACACTTGAATATGCTTTATTATTAGAAGTAATCATAGCTTTTATACATTATTTCTGGCAACACTGTTTCTGGACAAGTTATTTTAATTGTATTATCCATTATACTTTTTACTGATTTAGCTAATTCCACTTTAACGAAAAAAGAAAAAAAATCTTAACATTAGTGATATTTAGTTTGAATAAAAAACTGTATGCAAATCTCAAATTATAACATAAAAATATGCAGTATGACACAGCATTTGATAAACCTGCTCCCTTGTGGCTGACCATGCGTTCATCCAAACAAGTTTTAACAATAGCCCCAAATGTAAACAAAACATATGAATTTTGATTAGCAACGTCACTTGATTGACACATTTGACATTGTTGATCATTACAATTCTAAAAACCAAGTAATTTTTATTTCTCAAAATAAATAAAATGAGTATGTATTTGGGAATTTTACTAAGGTTATTTTGTTTAACCAACTCACAATGTATACTGCAAATTTATTTAAAAAAATTACATACAAATTACAATTTTTAGATGCTTTTATTTCCTTTTTGTTAATATAGTGTTTAGAGTAACTATTATTTATGAAAGTTATATACTGATGATTCTTGGTGAGTTGTATTTTAAATGTTTTATTCTTGGTGATTCATTATTATATTATGTCACACATTTTACATATGTCACATTGAAATCTTGTTTAGGAACTATTTCATATGGATGCATCCATTTATGCTGAAGAGCCCAAAAAGGATATCCATACTTTTGTTGGAAAATTTACAAGGGTAAATTGAATGTCCATTCTAAATGTTTTTGTATTGTGTGTGTTTATTAATGCTTATTAAATGTGTTTGATTTTTAATGTTTTTTACTAGAATGATGGTGAAGGGGCAGAAGTATCTCTGGGAATTGAAAATACTTTATGGGCCAACACTGTTGTGGCATCTGGCACTGCCATTGGCATTGTCATTTATACAGGTTCTGAAACTAGAAGTGTAATGAATAACTCTGAACCTCGAAGCAAGGTGTGATTTTTTTGTTTGTTAATTTTTGTATATATTGTTAAATCAGGTGCATAGCGTTTTTAAAAAGTGCTTAAAGGTGCTTATTTTTGATTTTTGTATTTTAAACGTCATTAAAGGTGCTTTTTTCATTGGATGTTTTAAAAAGTGCTTAATTTTCCCTTTTTCAAAATGAGATTTTTCCTTTACCATGTTGATTTTGGTTACGAATTATGCGAAAAGACACACAGTTTACATTGTTCTATTCAGCGTTTTCACAAGTAATTCAACCCCAATCTATTTCGGTGTATTGTCAGTCCGTAGCGAATGAAAATGTCACTCGTTTTACCTGATTCAAAATTTCATGATTTTTGACAATTGTCAAAAACAATGCCAAATTTTTTTTGACATGACTGTAAAAACAAGATAAAACCGTCAATTGTCAAAAACTTTCCAACCCTGCCTAATTATGATATTTTTTTAAAGTGCTTAACAATAATTTTTGAGTGCTTAAAAGGTGCTTATTTTTTGTTGAATACTTTGGCTACACATCCTGTAAATTCATTACTCTTTAGATCAGTGATTGCCAAACTGTTGATTGGGGGTTGTTAATGCTTCTCAAGGATATTTCTGGTAGATCCAGTTAGGTACTCTGGTTAGACTCTCATCGGTTTTTCCTCTGAGCTAAACTTGTTGATGACAAAAAAAAAAAAAGAGTTCCATCTTTCGCATTGAAGTTATTGAGCCTGATAAAAATAATCTATTATAGTTCTTTTTGATTAATAACTGCACTTCAATTTTTCTTATGTGCAACTCAATTTTAGTTCAATATGCAGTTTAATTCTGGGTTTCCGCTATGCATTTGTAGCAAAATGCTATAAAACTATTTAAAATACTGAGATGAAACAAGACATTTTAGCTATTTGATAAAATTCTTTAAAGAAAAAAAATTTCACGAAAAAAATCATGAGAATTGAGACACACATTTTTTTTAAAATTCTTATGATTAGATTCTACCTATGTATGCAAGGAAAAGTACTTCCCAAACAAAATAAATAAACAATGGCAATTCTGAACTACAAATAATTAATGAAATCAGCTAGAAAAAAATATGAAATTTATAGTTTTATACATGCAAATAATCTTGTTTAATGAAATTTTAAAGTTTATATACAAAGCAAATGCATCAAGGCTTCTAGAATGGTAAACAAAATCCTACTCTTAAGCCGTGTGGCATATTAGCATTTTGGTTAAGATTTTTTCTGATTTTTGACTTTTTCTAATGAATTTTCAATCGCAGCTTAAAACTGGGTTTAATTATATTTGATTTCATACTAGAAATGTAAATTTATGCGTAATAAATGTAAGATTTTTAAAAAAAGTTTTTAGTTCTTTTGGTTGGTAGATTATAGTAGGTTTAAAAACAGTATGGTAACTCAGAGGTTTCATAAATTTGGTGACTACTGGTTTAGATGTATAATTTTATATATTACTTTTGTTGATTATTTTATGTTTTTTTTTTAAAGGTTGGGCTAACTGATCTTGAGCTAAACCAGCAAACAAAAGTTTTATTTGCAGCAGTTATTGGACTGGCTTTAGTGATGATGGCTTTAAAAGTAAGTTGCACTACTTTTGTGTTAAACCGTTTACAAACCGTGTATGTATTTTTCATTGTTTCACATTCATTCAAAGCTTCTGAAGTTCCGGAACTCAAAATACTACAAATTGAAAATTGTAATTATTTATTTAGATATTTCACTGATATTAAGTTTTTTTCTTTAAATATTTTTATTTCACATTGTGTTTAAGTGAATATATTACAGGGTGGCCATCCACCTGGAAAACCTTGAAAACCTGGAATTATCAGGAAATTTTTTTATACTGGAAAAAACCTGTAAAAGTCAGGAAAATTTAGATAAAAACCTGGAAAAATCAGGGAATTTCAAAGATAAGCTGGAATTTTTCTTTTAAGTTAAATTATTTTACCATCCCTTATATCCACTTTTATTTAGACGTAAATTTATCGTAAAAAAGTTGAAATATCAGCTCAGCAATACTTTTCTTGCATTAAAATTCTCTTCATTATTACCCTGCTAAACTAAAATGCCGTTTCAAACTCTTTTATGTTGGGAAATGAATGGAGAAATCTTCGACCTCTTTAAAGATTATGGGACAGTTTAAGAAAGGCAAAACTGTGGAAGAAAGAATATTTGCTTCTGTTTTTAACAGTAGGTTTTTTTTATTTTTTAAATCTTCTTTTAGTCTGTTGGCTGAATTCATTAATTGTTGAAGTTTGTTGCGACGCTTCGAGGGTATTTTTTTCTTTAACAAAATTATTCAAAATGCTTTAGTATTTTTAACTTTATAAAATTCTCCAAAAAATAATTGGATATGATTTAGAGATTTTATATTGCACTCTTTTTCTGAAAGCTTTTGTCCAATGAATTATTTTTTCTCAGCAAAACCAACCAATTGCTAATAGCAAAATTGTTACAATTGTTGCATTGATGCTGATTTTCTGGATTTCATGATAACTTTTATTTTGATGTTTCTGAAATTGTTTCTNGTTTTTAGTTTTTTTTTTTTTGAAAGAATTCACACTAATAATAGAAAATGGAAGGAATAATAATTAAAGTAAACTATAACAAAACAGGTTGTCTTGCACAAATATGTCTAAAAATTTTTCACTTTGATTTACTATAAAAAAAATTCTCAAGATACACTTTTGATGTTTAACGTGCAACGCCAAAATGCATAATTAATTGTACTGTAGCACTAGGATTTAATATAATCAAATTATTTTTTCTGTTTAAACCAAGATTTTGGTAATAATAAATATTTTTATTTTAAACTAATAATTAATTTTACACACCACTCAGTCTGATACTACTACTTTTCTTTTCATTACATTTGTTTTTATTTATTTTCATCTTATTTGTTTTTATTTATTCTTATCTTAATTTTGGGAAAAAAAATATTAAACCTACTTGCAATACAACAATAACTAACATCCTACTCAATTTTTAGGTAAATGGGATAAAAATTATTAGTTATTTATTGGGCCTGTAATTGGTCAATGAAACTGGAGAGGGGGTATTAAAAAGAGATACAAATTTATTCAAGAATTCATGTTAAATTTTTTCCAAAAATTTGGCCCATCTGTTACGCTACAACCGGACATATACTCTTTCTTGTTCACTGTTAGCTATGCCACTAAATAGAAGTAAAAGGCATATCGATAAATATTATCTGCTATAAAAAGATTATTTAATTTTATGCGGGCAATAAATAAAGCTATTATTATCATTTTTCCTGTGCTCAGAAAAATCAATTTTTTCCAGAAAAATTTGTTATAGGCTAATAAGATAGTAAAAAATTGTTTTTTTTTTTCCTTTTAATGTACAGTGACTATTTTTTTTTCAATGTATTTTTTTATTGTATATAAAAATAGTGATTTTTTTCAACATTTTTTACCATATTTAAAAAAAAAAAGTTTTTTATTCTACAATTTTCAAAATGATTAAATTTAAAAAAATATTGCTTAAATATGAGTTTTATTTATATTGTTAATATATTACATTGATGTTAATTTATTACATTGTTGTTAATATACGTTGCATAGTTAAAACTTTTATAAACTTTTATAAGATGGAGATTGTTATAAAACACATTAATCTGACCATTCTAACAGGAAATGGAAGACAATTTAAATTTAAAGAAGCTATTTAAGTAAAAAATAATATTTGTAGCATTAAGATTATAATTAAAGTAATTTTCAGTCATTATAATGGTTATCATTAACTTAAATTGCTATCCAATTTGAGAAATTTACATCTGACACTGAAGTGAAAAATTTCAAATTAATTATGCATCATATTTCCCAAACAACTGCATAGAATTTTTTATTCAAATGTCAGATTCAAAATTCAGTCAATTTTGCAGATAAATTACAAACAAATTCACTGAGTTTAGACAATTTGTAAATTAGTTATCATTTTTTGCTTTCGCGCGATTCACAATTGACAACAACAATTTAATCATATTAATTCGAACTTATAGTAATCAGTTTTTATAAAACAAACTGTTTTTCGTTAGGTTATGATATACTAAATATATACGTAAAAATTTGATTATAAACTTGTTTTATAAGATATTTTTTCTAAGAAATTAATGTTCATTTTTTTCCGACACCATGGATTTGCCCAGAAATGTAAAAACAAAACCAATTAGCTCATGTAAACTAGGAAACCATGTTAGATTGCAATTATTAATATATTCTAATTTCCATTAAGAAAAGGAAAAGGAAAAGAAAAAGAACAAAAGTTAAAGAATTTTATCTATTTTTTTTTCTATAGCATATGCAACAAGAAATTGACAATTTTTCCTTTACAAATACTGAACATGTCTTAAAATAATAGTGCTAATTTGAAACAAACAGCATTATTTAAACATTTGACTTATGATATTGGTTTCAAGAAAATTATTTCAATGAATTTTATAAAGAGCACTGTTTGTATAATATACAGTATAAAATGGCTCTATATTGATGTTTGGTTTCTAATCACCTGGAATTATTTTCTTTTGCTTAATAAAAACATATTAAACAGTTGGTTTCCAAGGTTGTTTTGGATCATTGCTATTTGGTACATTTTGTGCAAAAACTATTTAACACTTAAAAAAAATTTTATTCATTAAAAGCGTTATTTTCTGCAAGCTAAACATATTGTTTCCTCCATATCTATTCAAGATGACATTTTAAAAAAATAAATTTTAAATGAAATACTACACTATTATATTGACTGATACACTAATATTAACACTTTTCTTATACCTATACTACACTTTAGCAGGAAAAAAAACACGCTGACCTGGAAATTTTAAGAATTTTACTGGAAAACCTGGAAAAATCAGGGAAATTTGAAACCTGATTTGAGTGGCCACCCTGATATTAGTATCAAAAGTATTCAGGTGAATTCTACATATCTCTTTTCACTTTTTCTCTCACTTTGAATTAACTTGTTCTGACTGGTGGATTTTTATTGTGCATAGATTATTAATGACGGGACGAAAAATGGCTACCTCCATGGTTCTGGTTAGTTTTGTTCACTTGCAACAGATGGAGTAATTTTTTTTAAACGTTCATTCAAAAAGTAGCAAAAAATTATAAATCAGAATTAGCATGAAAATGTAAAGATTGAGACCTCATAAAAAATAGAGTTATCGTGGATTGACTGTATATTTATTTTAATTTATGAATTGCTATTAAATGATGTAGATGATTAAAAAACTTTGAAGTATTGATTTATTTTTTAACATTTGTTTACAAATATGTATTCTGATTTTGTTTTTGCTAAGTTGGTAGTATACAGATCATTAAAAAATGTTACTAATTGAACAAATCATAAATATTAACATTATTACAAATTAGCATATTCTAAACTAACTTTTATTTCAGGGTTTTGGTGGCTTGTGGTATCGATATTTGTTTAGATTCATTTTGCTATTCTCTTACATCATTCCTATTAGGTAAGCTAACTATAATATGCTGTTTTATTTTAAAAATTAATTTTTTTAAAAATATGTTTTGTAAGAAGATATTTTGATTACGTAATAAATTACATCAAGCGTTTTTGTATTATTCTAGGTTAATTTTTTAAAATTATTTGTTATTAATTTAAAAAAAATTATTTTGATCTAATATTTTATAAGGAGAAAATAAAGTCTAGTTATCGGTAAAATTAGCAAGGTAAAATTGAGCAAGTTAATTAAAAAAAATTTTTTGTTGCAAATTTGAATATATGTATTCCTATCATCATTGGAAGTTTGACTATAGCTATATTCATTATAAAATTTCTCAACATTTAAAACGTACTTTTGAAATCAAATTTATAATTAATCATTGTTTGTTATTATTTAATGTACCATTTTTATATTTATTTTCTTTTTAGTTAAAGTTCGCATATTATTAAATGTTCAGTATTAAGCCACCAATTTTAGTAAATTTTGGTAAAATGTCTCAACTCTCGTCAATATTTGAAAAAAAGAAAAGTTTTACGTCAATTTACTCGAAAGTTGTTGATACAGTCAGCATTAAATATAAGGATAGTCTTCAACTTTAAATGGCAATAATTAATGTATTTAATGTACTTTTAATTATTTAATGTACTTTTGACTGTAGCTGTATTTGTATTCATTTAAGTTCAATTTTAATTGAATTGCATAGTTATTTTTAGCAATTTAAAATTATAGATTAAGTTATTAAACTAAAATAAATAATAAATTTAATACAATTTCTATTATTTGACTCAATTTAAAATTTTTCAAATTGGTTTTATACTGCAATTGAAAAAGTAATTTGCTGTAACATTTTTATATTTTATTAAGTTTTTCATATCTTTTATTACTGTTTTCAGAATAAAATGTTGCTGTTGGCAGCTCAAATGTAAAGTTTAATCAATCAGTTTCAAATTTAGTTTTTTAAACGAGTTTTACAATGCTAAAAATTTTAAATAACAAATCCAGTACACAAAATTAATTAAATAAAATTTTAATTAAGTAAAATTTTAAATAACAAATTCAGTAATAATCAAAATTCACGTTCGTTCTTAAAGTAATTTAAAGTTGTTATTATCTCTGTTTTTCTGTTTTATCTAAAAATGTTATTCATTATGTGGACTGGAAAACTGATAATTTTTTCTATTTATTCTTGTATAAATTTTATACTTTTCTCTGATATCCTTGAAAATGAGTAAATTTTGATTTGTTTAATTTTATTTCCTTAAAATTTTGTAAAAGATTTTTAAATTTAAATTTTGAACATCTGATCAAAAGAAATTTAATTGGTTTTTCAATAGAATTCTTTTTATTTTCTTTACGGAACAGCTATTATGACAGCTTAAACATAAGGTCTAGACAGTAAAAATTTAATTTTTTTATAGTGATTACATGTTAAAAGTATATATTTTTTTATTATAATATTTCTTGACTAGGAGCATTTTTAAGATCTTGTCAACATTTTCTGAAAAGAGAAAGTAAGTTTTCCAATTGATAATTTTATTTTCAGTTTACGTGTGAACTTGGATATGGGTAAAATGGTTTATTCTTGGATGATTCAGAAAGACAAAGAAATTCCTGGTACAGTGGTGAGGAGTACAACTATCCCTGAAGAATTGGGAAGATTATGTTTTTTACTTTCTGATAAAACTGGGACTTTAACTAAAAATGAGATGGTAAGTTACTTGTTCGGATTTGTTAATTGGTTGTTAAATGATGCAAAGGATCACCAATCTAGATTAAATAATTAGAAATATACAAGCATGGCTCTGGTTATTTGTAATTATTTAATAAATTTTGTTTCTTTATTGATGCTGCAGCTCTTGAAGTGTCCTAACTTAATTTTAAGACTTTTGCACCATTGAATACAACTAATAACTTTTGGTTCCAGTCAGTAATTTAAAGTTCTCTTCAAATTAATTTTTTATATAAGTTTTCATTCTTTTTTTAGTTTCCAGGTCCTTTCCAATCCACAGTATGATTATTTCTCCTTAAATTTTTTGTATTAGTTTTTTTTTTGTTGCTGTGCATAGTTGTGTTATTGGCATATCTGGATTAAATAACCGTGTCAGGAGTTAAATTATCATTTGCCTAGCCACACAGATTCTTAACCTATGAGAACCCACTCAGCACGTCAAATGGCTGCACCATTCAAATTTTTGTCTTACAGTTTTCAGATTTTTTTTTTTTTGAAGAGAAATGTATAGTGAAACAAACAGGCATTTTTCAACAATTTCAAAGTTATATCTGCTCATTAATTTAAAAGTTGTTGACTGATATTAAGTTCCCATTATTTCACAGTATTTCTAGCTATAATACACAATGTAATACTTAATTCTACTGCTTTTCATTGGTTTGCATATAAATTAGAAAAATTTTCATTGTTTAAAGCATTTTTATTTAAACTGTCTTTTTATTTAAATTGTTGAATTTTAAAATAAATAATAAAGAAATGTTAAAAAAAAAATTACAAGTTATTTATGTTAACAAATGTATTACAAAATGTATTGAAATGTATTTATGTGTAGCAAATTATTATTACATCTGAATTTTCAGGAATTCTATTATTAATTCAGTTTTTTTATTTTTTTATTAACTGTTTTTCTATTGAAGTTACATTTCTAATTTAAAAAAATCATGATTCTCCCTTGTTAGTGGCCATTTCTCATCTTCTGTCTTCCTGTATCCCTTGAATTAAATCGAACATTAATGAATTTTTTCCTATTCTAAATTTTCTGTGTATTACTTTACAATGTTATGTTAACCATTATTTTGTGATTAATCTTTCTTGATATAGTGAGGTATTTTACATAATTTCATAATCTTGTCTTAAATTTTTCATATGTTTGACTTTAATATTTTAAATTAAATATCAAGAAAATATTTTAAAATTACTAACATATTTGAAAAATGCTAAAAAAGTTTAGAATTTCTTATTGTATTTAATGTAATGAATAATTGTCATGAATAAATAGGATTCATTATTGTTATTAATATATTATGTTTTAATAACAGTTAATTAAATGTAGGATGAGTTATGAATTTCTTATGTTCTTTTTTGTTTTAAAATTCGAAAAAGTAGACTGCATTTTCATCCAAAATTTGTAATTAAAGGAAGCAAAACACTTTTTTTATGTAATTTTTGTATAAAAAAGCAGAGAAGTTGTTCAGGAATAGTTTTATTTTCACAAAAGTTTAAAAGGAATTTTTCATATTACAAGTAGACTTATATTTATTCTATACATATTTATTTTTACAGGTTTTTAAGAAGTTGCATTTGGGAACTGTAGCTTATGGACAAGATTCTTTCAATGAAGTATGATTTTTCTCTGTTAATTAAGACTTTTAATTAATTTAATTTCTAAATTATATTTTTTTGACATTGAGGAGCATTAATTTAAAATAATGACTGATTTAGCTTTAAGAAATGTATGTATTTTACTTTTTAGTATCTAAAATAATTAATACTTAGAGAATGAAGCTTAATATGCTATACCAATAAATACTAATTTATGCTTGATAAAATTATGTTTATATAAGTTGTCATTGTAAACTGAAATCTCCATATCACCAGATTCTGGCCTTAACTATGATAATACTGTTAACTTAATGATACACTTAATGTTACACTTAATGATAATACTGTTATTACCTAAACACTTATTTAAAATGGAGACACTTTTTTGCCATTTCAGTAGATTTTATATTAGATTTTTTTTAATGAATTGTAGTAAAAGTATCAGCAAGTGCTAAAGTAGTTACTTTTAATATGTAATCTAGTGCACCCTTGAAAACAATACTGGCTTTGGAACCCACTAGTACTTGTCATAGTGGAGGCTTGCACATTTCAGATTTCTTGGAACTTATAAGTTAAAGTTTTTCTGCCATATATTTGATGCAGATATATTTACAAACTCATCTAAACTTTTCTTTGTATGTTTTTTTTAAAAATAAAAATTAAAAAAGTAGAATTTGTTATAACTGAGCCGCGATGGCTCAGAAGGTGGAGCGTTCACCTTCCAATGAGGTGAACTGGGTTCGAGTCCAACAATGGCTGGTCGATACGAATCTGCATCCGACTTGCACCGACCTTAGTGCTGACGTATATCCTCAGTGGTAGACGGATCATGGGTTAGAGTCCCTTCGCCTTCAGGCTAACAGTGGAAGGCTCTCATGGTCTTCCTCTCCATGTAAAGCAAATGCGGGTTAGTTCCATCAAAAAGCTCTCCACAAAGGCAAATTATCCACTACTTGATCCAGGAGTTCCCTTGTCTTCTGGATTGGGCTCAAAATTATAAGGCTACGGAGTTGAGCATTAGTAGTCGTAAACCCAAAAATTGGGTCGGCTGTTTAACGACAGTTATAAAGTATAAAATAAAATACGTTAAAACTCAATTTGGTTATCAGTTTCAATGCATTGTTATTATTTTTTTTTGAAAAAAAATTTCTTTTGTTACTTTATACCCTATTAAGTGCCAATCTATTTTAGGTTATAGCTCATTTAAAAACAGCTTATCTACCAACATCATCAGAGAGTTCTTCGAGCAGTACCACTCCTACCAGACAAACACCTAAAATGAGAACAACTATTGTCACCAGAGTTCAAGAAGCTGCAAGAGCTCTTGCTTTATGTCATAATGTTACGCCTGTCTATGATGAAGACACTGTCAGTATTGATACCTCAGGGGAGAATAAAGATTGTGATACAGAAGCTGATCAGCAATCAAAACAATCATTTGTTTACCAAGCATCTAGTCCTGATGAGGTATGCATAAATTCTTTTATTTTGCAAAATTATTTACTTTTATGTTATAGGTAAAAAGTCTGAACAATTCTTTTTGCTAAAAAGTGATTTTACTTTTACTGCAGTTTGTTTATTGGAAACAATATTGCAGAACGGCTTAGTGAATGAAAAGGCAATTCTCTAGGTACTATTTGAAAGGATGAGGCAAATGTATATTTGTTGTATGTATTACTGTGAAATGCCTATTGACTTACCCAAAATATCCTTCATTGCCCCTAAAGCAATGCTGAAGCTGTTTTTCAGGTTTGAGTATGATTGCTCCAAATTCCAAATGATGGATGGATTTGCTTACCCTCCTTTGCTGCAGAATGTTGCACCAAGGAATGCTGAAGAACTACATCTGAAAAACATAGTCCGTTACACAAGATTTCTTAAAAACAAATTCTCTCTCTCTCTCCCTCTTTTGTTTAAAAATTCATCTGTGTAGCCCTGCACTGATCCCATATTATTTTCATTGTAGGCCAACCTGCTTTTAAAATATGAGATTTGTTTTAGAATATTAAATGACAAAATATGCGTTATCCCTTACTTCAAATAGGTAATAATGATTCTGCGAAAAAGAAGAAGCTTAAAACTCACTAGATCATTTTTTAGTGAGCTTATCGTAGCATTAGATTTGCTATTTTGAATATCATTTATTTCATATTATCCCAGTTGCAGAAATCCTCACACTATGATCCATTTATGCACCATATATAATTGCGAGAATGTATTATCAGGCAAGTTTTTTTTTCTTCAAAATACTTATTTGTTCTGGACTTTATTTTTTAAGCAAAAATTAATGCAAAGCTTCTAAGAAAGAAGAAAACATGAGAATATTGGCTCAAATATTTTAAAAGAACAGTAGTTGGATTATAAAAATATGACATGTATGTTCTACATAGAACACTTGTATCATTGGAAGAAAAATATACTTTGTTATTTTTTTTTAAAATTCAAGTGTAAACTATGTATTTAGTACTCGGGGGGTCTGTTAAGAAGAAATTTAGGTCTGTACAAAATATTCACAAAATATCTTTTCATGAAAACGGACCCTTCACAAAATGATTTTTATTTTTAATTACCTCTACCCTTCACAAATTTGTTTATCTTCATTATAGTTTTGTTAATTGAATAAACCCTTCCCAGGGCCTTTGGCAGATGCTTCTTCCATTATTCGTATGAAATGAATATTCTGCATTCAGCAGTATAGGCTAAATACCAAATATTTGTATGTTGCATCTCTAATTTAGAAGCAGCAATTGTTGTTTATTTTTGAAAATTTAATTTTTTGAATTATAATTTTACAGTGCTTAGCATAATCTTGTATCTATTTACAATTTAAGAACTCCTTGAAAAGGTTTTTTGCTATAACCGGACCTATTTGCACAAATTTATAAAGGTAGGATCCTGGTTGAAAGAATGTGAGTAATTTTTTCACAATTTCACAAAATCTGGACCTTTTACAAAATGTTTGGTTAGACCCCTGGTACTCCACAATACAAATTTCATTGCTAATGATTTCCATTTTGAGAGAGATATTTTTTTTTATTTTTTACCTGTAAGAATTTGAAAAAGATTGTTAATTAATTTTTTTCTTTTCAAATCTTATTTTTGAACACTGATTACTTAGTATTTTCAAATATTATAGGTTGCCTTGGTGACTTGGACTGAGAGTGTGGGGTTGACATTAATTCAACGGAATCTTCAGAAAATGCAATTAAGATCACCTCATAACCAAATATTGGATTATTCCATTCTGCAGATATTTCCTTTTACTTCAGAGACAAAAAGAATGGGGATAATAGTTAAAGTAATTTCACTTTTTTCTTGCAATTAAGCTTTGTTTTCTATCCTTTCAATTTAATAATGATTCACTGTTTTGTTTTATCAGGAGGAAAGTACAGGAGAAATTATATTTTTTATGAAAGGTGCAGATGTTGTGATGTCATCGATTGTTCAGTACAATGATTGGTTAGATGAGGAGGTAATATTATTTGTAGTTTTATTATTTTTTGTTCATATTTTATAATTTTCTTTTTCTTTCAGGGTGTGTAGCGTTTTTAGAAAGTGCTTAAAAGTGCTTATTTTCGATTTTCATTTTTTAAAAGCCCTTAAAGGTGCTTTTTTCATTGGGTATTTTTAAAAAGTGCTTAATTTTCCCTTTTTCAAAATGAGATTTTTCGTTTGCTTAGTTGATTTTCGCTTCAAATTATGCAGAAAGATACAGTTCGCATTGTTCTATTCAACGTTTTCATAATTAATTCAACTCCAATCTATTTCGGCTTATAGTCTGTCCGTAGCATATGAAAACGCCATTCGTTTTACATGATTCAAAATTTCATGATTTTTGACAATTGTCAAAAACAATGTCAAAAGGTTTATTATTTTTTTTTTTTGACCTGACAGTTAAAATAAGATAAAACAATTTATTAATAAATTTTTAATCGATTGTCAAAAACTTTCCAACCCTGCCTAATTATGATATTTTTTAAGTGCTTAAAAATATTTTCTGAGTGCTTGAAAAGTGCTTAAAAGGTGCTATTTTTTGTTGAATAATTTGGCTATGCACCCTGTCTTTGTATACTAATTTTCAGTTAATGTCTTTAAAATTTTACAAAATTTTCATTTGAAAATAAAGAAAATTTATTTGATTTGTATGAGAAATGGATTTTATCGACTTTGTAATTACAATCGATCTCATCTGTTATATTTTATTGCAGAAAAAAAATTTAAAGTTTCGTGTATTTTCTTATTTGCTGTCAATTATTCAATGAGTTTTTTTAAAAAAGGAACACACAGCGAGAGTGTTATATTAAATTTAATCTAATATTTTAATATATTTTTAAACTTAAAAATAATACTTATTATTAAGTGAAATCAATTTCTAATTTTTCATATAAATGCATTTCTGCTAGCATTGTTCAATTTTGATTAATTGTAAATAAAATTTATTTTAATATTTGAAGAAGAATGAACCCTTTCAAGACCATTTTTTTTTTCAATAAAAGGACATATTATAACTTCAATAGATCAAGAAAGGTAAAAATAACAGTATTCTGCCAAAATAAAATCAACTATTAGGACAATTGGGGGGTTCCACCTGGTTTTTTCAGACTATTCACATATGTCCCAATGGTGTTTTTGTCTGCAGGAAATATATGTCCTGGTGGGACTAAAAGGGTTAATGTCTGAATAATGAAAAAAAACCTCTTTTAATAAATTTAATAATTTTGTTAAAATAATTACAGGTATCTCTGTTTTACATGTTCACTTTTAGGATTTCTTTCAGGAAAAAAAAAATTATTTGCAGAAACATACCACACATAATTTTTTTGAAACTAATTCTGGTGTGTAGTTACATTATTCTGATGCATACATATCACTGAATCTTGTTATAATGAAATGGGAGAAAAAAAAAACTTGTAGGAATTAAAATTTTTTTTCTCATTATCCTCAAAAGATTTTACAAATTGGATAAAAAAGAATTGGATTTTGTGTATTATTTCAATGTGAGAGGTAAAGATGAAAAACTGCTTAAAAAAATTCATAATGAGTTAACTGGTGAAGATTTTAAGAAATTATCTAAACATAAATTATTTATTTATTTTTTTTTTTTTTTAAATACATCATGACTTTTGGTAGAAATAGAATTTTTGGAATGGTCAATTAGTTACAATTTGTTTTGGAAATATATCAGTAAATATTAAAATGTAAGATTGTCTTAGTTTAAAAACTTATTGCTTATATAAGTTGAGTATGTCCTACAGATTTTATCGTACCTTCTTAAATTTTTGTCTTTTTTTACATTTTGATTTAAATTTTATGTTTTTCTAGTGTGGAAATATGGCTCGAGAAGGGTTGAGGACACTTGTGGTTGCTAAGAAAGTTTTAACTGAAGATCAGTATTCTGATTTTGAAGTATGTAATAAATTTGTTAATTTTGAAATGATTGTTATTAAAATTTGGAAATGATTGTAATTAAAATTTTGAAAATTTGTTGTCATTCTTGGAATAAAAGTATTTAAGCAAGTTTTTGAAAAAAGATGCTTTTGTTTACGAGATTTCATTAAAAAAAGTATTTTACTTATGACAAAACTGATTAAGACTGATTTGAGTGAATCTCTAGATCCAGAAAAATGTTTGAAAAAACTATGCAAATTAACTTTTCTGTATATGTTTTAACAGGTTTGCGGTAAATCTTCCAATAGAACGTAATGTTCATGTCCAACTCTGAGCAGTGAATGCATTTAGGAAATTGTTAATTAATAATAATTTTTTTTATTTTGTATTTTATTATTGAAATATCGAACTACTATTTGAAAAAATAATTAAATATACTTACAACAAGTTTTTGGAAAATTTAATAAAATTAGTAAACACTTGAGCTTTTAAGGCTGTAATGTATTGCATTTATAAAAATTTATTTTCTTTGTGTTTTTTATTAACATTAGATGCAACATTTTCTAAAATCTTTATGAAACTTTTTTTAATGATTATATATTTAGGAGACAAAATTTAAAATATTTTTGTATTTTATTTTTTGATTTTTTTTTAAGCAATTTAAATTTTAGTAGTGTTCCTTTTATATTTGAGGCTGAAAAATTTCTAGTGTCTGTATCATTTTGTCACTCTTAACTATTTTTTAATGAAAAATTAAAAGAAGTTTTTTTTTCTTTGTGAAAATAGTTTGATTTTTTTTTAAAGGCTCGCTTGAATCAAGCCAGAGTCAGTATTCATGACAGAAATGCCAAGGTTTCTGCCGTCATTGAAAGTTTAGAGAGAGATATGGAGTTACTTTGTCTGACCGGTGTTGAGGATAAACTGCAAGATAATGTTCGACCAACTCTTGAGTTACTTAAAAATGCTGGAATTAAAGTAAGCTGTCAATAGTTATTATATCAGTGAGTGTTGAAAAAAAATGTATAAGATATTTTTTGTTTACTTAAAATTTTCTTTTAACTAAGTTTTTCTCTGTTTCCCCCAAAATGACCAATTTAAATAATCAAATAAAAGCGGACAAAATAGGGGGCAAATGTACAACTTGCAGTGTTGGTACAGCTGTGCAAACTTCTCCAAAGTGCTCCAAAACAAAAATGTCTGCTTCAAGTTACTATAAAATAATGATTTTCCTCAAAATTTTACCAAACTGCTCTAAAACTCCAATAACATATAGTCATTGAGCAAAATATATTCATTGAACAAAAATCATAAATTTGGCCTAGTTTGGCACAGAATATAAGTGCAAAGTTCAGTTTCATTGCGTCGAAACTGAAAGTAATTAAAAAAAATTTTCTGATTTTTTTTAACACTAATTTGGGAAACAAATTAATCAGACACTCTCCCTCATAAAATTGAGAATGTCAATAGATGACTAAAATACGGAATTCGCTTATCATGTTATAATATATTAGACGTATAATAGTTTAAACATACGAAATTCATGTGACACATATTTAAAATATTGGAGTTAGGAGAAATAAGTATGATCATAAACCAACATGGAATTACAATGAAATTAAATGCTTTTCCTTTTTTTATTTATTTATTTAAAAAATTTTGTTTTTGTTTTATGGGCTCAAAACAGTAATTTTGCAAGCTTTATGCTGCTCCAATTGTAACCATTATTTGATCTAAAAACCAAATTTACTTGCTCCAAAATTCCTTTTTTCTGTTCCCTAATGGTTATGCTGCTGTTCCATCCCTGAACTTACTGCATTCGACTCAGGAAACTAGATCATTTATCTTCTCTAATTTTCAAAATTAATTACGAAGTATGTCTATAGTTGATGCTGTGACAAGTGAAGTACTATAAAACTGCACCAAAAATACGGTGCTGTCTGAAACAAAATTATGATGATACGTGTAACTAATGTGCAACTTGGAGCTTTTATCCACCTAGCTGATCGCTTGTGCTTTTAAATTTGTATTTGCTTCTTATTGTTTTTCTTCCCAATTACAGATCTGGATGCTTACAGGTGATAAATTAGAAACTGCGACAAGTATTGCAAAGTCTTCCTTATTAGTCTCCCGAACTCAAGATATGCATATTTTTCAAAGTGTGACTTCTCGTGGTGAGGCTCACCTGGAGTTAAATGCATTCAGGAGGAAAAATGATTCTGTTTTGATCATAAAAGGTGACAGTCTAGAAGTAAGTATAGTTTTTATTTTAGTTAATATATTTTAAGATGTTAAGTATTTGTCTTGTCAGTATATCAATCTTTAATATCATTTTTACTATAAGTAATGTTTTTTTTCTTTTTGCGAAATTAAATGAGAAATGAGATTGAATGTTTTAATAAGACTTTAATGTAATAAATAAATAAATAAATTCTAAAGTAAAATAATAGTTCTAAAGTAAATAAATTCTGAAGTATTAAGCTGATCCAAAGGCACTAAAAAGTACAAGCTGCCTAAAAGGGCATTTCGTTTTCCAAAAAATTATATCAGAAAATGGTTATTGTAAAAAAAATGTTCTGCACAGAAATTTGTTGTACTCAAAATTTTCTGTTTTTTGTTCTAACTTATTTTGACAATTAGTGCTGCAAATAGCAAAATTAAAAAAAAAGGAAAAAAATTGAAAATTGCATAGCAGCAAATCTCAATGATTAAAGTCACATAATTTTGTATTAATAATTAAAGCAATATATATTCAATCATACAATAATTTTGAAATATTCAATATCAGCTACAATTACATGTGTTTTATCTAAAAATTTATAGTCAATGAAAAAACAGATAGCTAAAATATTAAGGCATTACTGACCAAAAACCTGTAGTTTGACTGGTAAGTTCATGGCCAATTCTTCACTGAGGAAAGAATTCCAACCACTTTTAAAAAACCAAATTAATTTTTGGTAATAAGGGAAATGAATTCCCTTTAGAAATCAATCTCATTCCCAAAAATATTTTAACATAATATTTCTAAAAAAATTTCCCTTCAACGAATCCAAACTTTTTTTCATAAATGCATTTTAATTCTGAAATGATTGAATTTAGTAAGTATATTGAGTAAAGAAGGCAATTTTTTTTGTGTGAGGAATTTTTTTTTCAAGTTTTATTAAATGTAAATATTTCCTGTAGATGTGCTTAAAATTTTATCCTAAAGAATTCATGGAGCTAGCTTGCCAATGTCCAGCAGTTGTTTGTTGTCGCTGTTCTCCCACTCAAAAAGCTGAAGTTGTGCGACTCATACAAAATGAAACCGGTAAAAGAACTGCTGCAGTCGGTAATATATCTTCATTTTATTACAAATTTAATATATTGTGTCACTATATTATGCAAGAAATTCATTTTGAATATCTTATTAGGGGATGGCGGTAATGATGTCAGTATGATTCAAGCAGCAGATGTTGGTATCGGTATCGTTGGCAAAGAAGGAAAACAGGCCTCTTTAGCTGCAGATTTCTCTGTTACTCAATTTCATTATATTGCTCAGTTAATTTTGGTTCATGGGCGTTATAGGTTAGTCAGTTGTGGATTAGTTTTCTTAGTTTACTTATAAATATTGAAACTTTCATTTGAAGTTGTTATCACAATTTTCATTCTTTCTTTCTCATACACCACATTATTACTGGTCTCCTGTAGTGCACCTTTAAGGGAAGGAAATGAGCAGTGCAGGATTTAGTGTACGCGGATCCCTAGGCCATTAAAATGTTTGGGGCCCTTAGATAAAAAAAAAAATTTCTCATATATTTTTTATTTACTCAAATATAAAAGTATTTATCTATTTTTTCATTTAAGAAAGCATATTTAAAATTAAAATAAATAATAAATTAAATTTTACTTTTGTTAGATAAAGTAAAGCAAATAATAAAAATAAGTAATAAATGAATATGATTAACGTTATGTAAAAAAAAAAAAAATCTTATTTTATTAATATATATTTAAAATTGATTTTTTTATTAAAAAAATAATTTTTCTTAATTTTTTAAAATTTATTTTCAAAACATCCATTTTAAGGGGGCCCTAATCATTGGGGGTCCCAGGACATAGCCTAGTCTGGCCTAATGGGTAATCTGGCACTGGAAGTGAGGGATCTGGAAGGGGTTGTAGTAGCACATGCTGTGAAGCATTAAAGTATTATTGAAATGTTTTCTAATTTCTTAGGAATTAACACAGTTAAATTTTGATAATTTTTGCTCAAATTATGCTTAGACTTTTGTATCGTCAAATTTTTTTTTAATGGTATCTTCAAAATTTAAAAAAACTTTATTTTCTTTTTAATTAATAATATTAAACTCATAAGACTATTTAGGGCAATACTCAATAGTAGTATAATATAAAAAAGTGTTGTCAAAATTGCAAATTATTACATCTAATGTATGATCTAAGGGACTGGTAGACAATTTTTTATTACTTTTATCAATTTTTTGCAAATGTAAAAAAATCTTAATCTATGGGAAAAACTGTTTCATTCCATGTGATTTATCTGTGCAATGACAATGCTTCGTCTGCTCACAATTTTCAGTTTTTTTATGTATATCAATTGCAATGCATAATACATATTTACTATGTTGGTATCTATAGTTTTTATCTTGATCTTTTTTGTCATGGAAAAGGGGTTTTGTGTGCATTCCATAATTCTAAGTTACTGTTTTAACCTTTTCTATTGATTTTCTTTCTTTTCTTCTCCTCTTAATTTATGTGTTAGACTTATTTCTAGAAGTGTAAATTATTTTTTAACTGGAGTTTGGTACAGTATATCTCCATCTAACTTTTGCAAAATTGAACTGTGCATTCAATTGTAATCTAATCTCGCTTGTACAACATGATTTTTATTTTCCATTATAGTTTTTGTTATTAGACATATCTTTATCTTCTTTGCTATTTTAATATATTATTCATTATTTTTCAATGTCTAGTAATATGAATAGCCTGGAAAAAACAAAATTTATTGCAATTCTCTGGAAAGCCTGATAAAATTAGGAATGTTCTTAATTTCTGAAAGAAGTGAGAGATTTATAATATTTGGATTATTTCTAATATTTGGAAATAATCAGAAAAATATTTAATTTCTCAATCGATGAAATTCGAATGTCTTAAGGCAGTGTTTCCCAAACTTGTGACTTTTGTGTACCCTTTCTGAATTTTTCGTAACGCTGTGTACCACTAATAAAAAAATTAATGTAGTTTTATTAATAAGTTTATTTGCATCAGTGAGGAAGATGATATTGTTTTTGCTGTGATAATAGTTATAGGGATAAAAATTATATTTTATAAAAATAATCAAAATAAGTAGAATTTATTACAAACCTTTACCATAAAAAATTGCACAAGTTAAAAATCACAACTGATTCTTGACACCACTAATTATAAACTCGTTTGTTGCAAGATGTTTTGCATAAGAACAGGCACCCCTGCAAAACTGTTCCCGTACCCCTTGGGCACCCCTGCAAAACTGTACGCGTACCACACTTTGGGAAACACTGTCTTAAGGAAAAGAGGAAATTTTTTCCTAGTGCAGTTTTAAATTATAAATTATTAATTACTAAGAAAATAGTTATTTAATAATAGATTATTAATTATTTACGAAGAAAAATGTACTGTCATGTGCAAATATTTTCTTTCCTTGTAATCTGAGAAGTTTTTTTATAATTTGGGTAGTTTTGTGTATAATAAGTTATCCTTTGACTTGTGCCCATTTAGTAAGTAAGAGTATTTCTGTATTATATGTTAATGAATGTGAAAGATGAAAAATGAGAAAATGGTTAAGTGAAAAAAATTTAATATATGTATGTGACAAATGCTATTATGTATGAAAATAATAAATAAATAAAATTGTCTAAGATAACTTAATTTATGGTTATATTGTTTATATAATTTATGGTACATAATAAATGAATAAATATGCAAACCTAATTATTTTTTAAGTGAAATTTTTAAATTTTTCTTCTAATTTTTATTTTTTTGTGTCGAAATTTATTTTTTTGTGTTTTTGAAAGTGTCGAAAGATGTGAACTATTGTTAAATCATGTACTCTAAAAGTTTAATTTAAATTTTTGTAACTGATTTTATACTGTTTTTCATATTCTGTCATTCTCAGGAAATATTATAAACAAATTGATTGTGGAAAATTTTTCATAAAAGCTTGAAGATGGCGGGAAATTGCATCCAGATATTTGCCCAACACTGCTTTATATTTTTAGGGAAAAAAAGTGTCTTGTTGTGCATGTATAAATTTTTCACTTAGTTAAATGTAACAATTTAGTATTTACAGCATATTTCAAAATGTAATTCAAAAAATGCATTAACTGTCTGCTGTATAAAGCTTTTATAAATTTTTCTTTATTCTAGCTATAAACGATCGGCTGCACTCAGTCAATTTGTAATTCATCGTGGTCTCATAATTTCAACAATGCAAGCATTTTTTTCTGCAGTTTTCTATTTTGCATCAGTTGCATTATATCCTGGCTTCCTAATGGTTGGGTAAGTTCCATTCACTTAATATTCATGCTAAAGCATTTTATTCGGTTTCTTTTCTTCAAAAATGTATTTTGTTTAAAGTAAAACTTTTTGTATAGGGATAAAATTGTCAATTTAGATTTTACTGCATAGAAAGGAATTTCTCGGACTCACTTTAGGGAATTTATTTGTGGATTACAATTTATCATAAACTTTTTTTTTAATATACTGTTTTATATATATACTTTAGCTATTGTTAGATATATATACTTTTGCTGTTAGAAAAGATACTTTTACTGTTAGCTGATAGTCTTTCAACTTAGATAAAAATTCATCTGTAATATGTAAGTGTTTTATATGTTGGGCTTGTTTTTGAAATAAGCTAACACTGTCTTTTAACAAGTAAATTTTCTTGTTTTTATTTTATTCAAAACTTGCACCTAATCCTTATTACTCTACCTGAAAATTCAGAATTTAATTGTTAAAAGTTGATGTAAAATAATGGAAACAAATTTCTGAGATTCCACAGAAGTGTTTTACTTTTAAAACAGGTTTAAGTATGGAAGTGTTTTATTATTCAATATTTTTTTAAACTTAATAAAATAAAAAAAAGGTGTAATAACTTGTTTAATTTTAATTTTATTGCATTTGGTTAGTGCCATATTTTGCCTTTTGTGGCCGATGTGCTGTGGCTTATTAAAAATACCAATAATGATTTTAGAAAACTGTTTCGATTTTTTTAAAATTTGGTATGCATTTATTTGTTGTAAAACTTATAATTTATTTTATTACCATTTTTAAAACCCTTGACTCTTTTCTATAGGGAAATTCATTAGAACTTGTGTATATTTTAATTTTAAAGTAACTATACAATTTACTTAAATGTAACTTAAATGTTAATAAATGCATTAATTTCTTATTGCATTTCACTTTTTGCTATTTTCATTTGAATACTTTTCAGTTTACAAAAAGTGAAATTAAATATTTTGTGTTCAGTAGTATTACTTTATTATTTGATTTTCCTTTTACATACAATTGAATTAATTTTTAAAAGTTTGCGCCATCTTATTTAAAAGTGGAATACTCAAAATTATTTGTTCTATTGAATGTAGAAGTTAGTTAATTTCAAGAATCATACGCTGTATGCTTTGAAATAAATTCTAACAACGTTAAAAACCTGGCAGCTTATCTCAACTTAGTTATTCCAGAAATATTTTTCATTTTGCTTAGTTGCTTATCTGAAAAGTTCTTAATAGATATTTTGATTATTTCAATCAGGGGTCACTAACATAGTTGATATTGACCACTGGATATTGATATAGTATAATTAGAGGATTAATCAGATATCTCGGTGTATGAATGAGTACTAATGCTATTCAATTACAAAGATTTTAAAAATTAAAAGATTATTTTAAATTACGTTTTGGAGATGTTTGCAAGATGAAGTAATTGAATTATTAGTTTACTTTGAAGTAAAGATGTTCTTTAATAATTTAACCGTGAGTAAATTTTGGACGAATATAAATATTACCCAAAAATATCCAAAACTCTATAATGCAGCATTTTTATTTTTAATTGAATTTTCAAGCTTATGTATGATTGAATCTGGCTTCAATATGTTAATTTTATTTTAAAAAAGCAGGGAAATTAATTGAATGTGGAGCTCCAAAGTGATTTAGGATTGAAGCTAATGAATTTCGAATCAAACATAGCTAATCTATTATAGCAACATTTTGAACATTGCATCCTTCTCATTGGTTTATGTAAAAATTTGATTTGTCAGAAATAAATAATTATGAAACCAGTATTTTAAAACTATTTTTAAGAGTGGTCGATGAAAGAATTATAAAAGTTTTGGGATTCTGATTAAAAAAAAGCTCAGCAGCCTCTGATTAAATAATCAAAAGGATAATTTTCATTTTTCTTTGTTGAAAATTTTTTAATAAATGCTCTTTTATGAAAACTTCATTAATTTATTGGTTTATAATATTTTGTTTAGAATGTTAATAGTTATTATATTTTTTAATTTCAGGTATGCCACAATTTACACAATGTTTCCTGTGTTTTCTTTAGTTCTAGATAAAGATGTTTTACCTGAAAAAGTTTTTACATACCCCGAATTGTACAAAGAATTATGCAAGGTACATGGTATTAACGTTTTATTTTAATATGATTTTTGTTTAAGCATATGTTTTCAGTGAGTTTCTATTTTATTAATTACTTTCCATTACATTGTTTCTTTTTTGTAATTTTATTGAAAATTTCTAGGAAATGTACTGTAATAATGTGAAATCGTTCGTCTGAGACTAGACCTTACGCTATTAAATCCTACAGTAATTAAATTCAGTTTGAGCGAGAATTTAGTATCTAACATTTTGTAAAGTAAAAAAAAGCCTCAATTTTCAACTTCAGTATAACATGTTTGAATGTGTTGTGTATGCATGCATGCATATGCACATTTTTGCTTAAAAATACTTTAAGAACTTTTTGCGCATTTGAAGATACTTTTGTTGGATTGCAAAAATAGTTTAACTTTTTAAAAGTTTTAAACTTTCCAATTTTAAAAAATGATTTTTCCCATTTAAAGTTATCCTTTTTTTTTTAAATCAATGTGCATAATTTATGTTACCATAATTCTGCTTGGAGGGCAGATGTTAGTTAGGTATGCAGACCATTCTCTCTAGCACCCCAACAGTGAATGTACTTTTCTAGTAATCAAACCACTAGAACCATTATGTTAGGAATTGAACTCCATTTCAGGCTTTGGTAGGCAGAGACTCTACCCACGATATAAACTGGTCAGCTAGGTTGTTAGAGAATCATCAATAATGGTCACATACACTATTTAAGCAACGTTCTCCATTTGGGGTTGCATTCTATTTTATGTTCCTTTCTAATGGTTTATTCTGTTGGTAGTTTTGAATCAATATAAAAAATTTTTCGATTGAATTAGTGATCTCAAATAAGAAAAGATGAAAATTTGAAATGAATTTTTAGCGAATTCATGAATGAGGCTCATTTTTTATTTTAACCCTTCCTACCTAGTTTTGAAAGTATCTCTGCATTAAAATGTTTATTAGATATATTTTTATTGTAGACTATACAAGCAGCAATAGTTTAAGAATTCTGTGAGAGAAAAAGTAACTAAGTCAACCATTCTTTTATTCTGTTTATAAAAGAGAAAAGGGAAAATTATGAAACTGACTAAAAGATATTTGACTTATTGGAATCACTTTTACATAAGATCAATGTATTACCAAATAATTCTGATTCAATGTACCTCATAGTGGTTTTGGGAAGCTTCCCTAATTTATCCTACAAGTGGCAGATTCAAATGATTAAATTTATGTCCAAAAATATCTTTAAGTTGAAATATCTTTACAAATAATGTGAATGCAGAAGAATTTTTTCCGTCATTGTTACGAAGTAACTTTATAAAAAATTAAAAGTTTTGATTGAACCTGGTGTGGAACAATCCAAAAAAAAATGAGTTCTCTTTTTGTTGGTTGTAAAATAATACAGAAACTGTGTAATAAGATGAAATTGATAAGTTTAACTCAGTAACAGAACAGTTACAGTTTAACTCAGTACAAGTGGCAGATTCAAATGATTAAATTTATGTCCAAAAATATCTTTAAGTTGAAATATCTTTGCAAATAATGTGAATGCAGAAGAATTTTTTTCGTCATTGTTACGAAGTAACTTTATAAAAAATTAAAAGTTTTGATTGAACCTGGTGTGGAACAATCCAAAAAAAATGAGTTCTCTTTTTGCTGGTTGTAAAATAATACAGAAACTGTGTAATAAGATGAAATTGATAAGTTTAACTCAGTGACAGAATTATAAATAAAAAACCATCAGTTGCAACTCACAGGGTATAGAGAAAATACACTATTAATAGAGTTGCAAAGGAAGTCAATGCATAAAAATTTTAGCATTAAGTGAAAGTAAACTGAAACAATGAAGCACAGATAAACGCAAACAATGTGAAGTCACAGATGTGTGTATGTGGGTGGAAGGGTTTGAGAAAAATGAAAATGCAAAAAAAAAAAAAAAGGAGAAAATCCGTGAGATTTCTAAATAATTTGTAAATTAAGGAATGCTAATCTTATTGGCACTTTTGCACTTTTTGGATACTGGAACGATTCTGGAAAATCTAAATCAGCACATGAGGTACACTGTTCAAAAAATGTATAAGTGGCTATATAATGAGTACACGCCAAAAATTTTTTTTCCTCATATTTGAAATTTTTATTATTATTTTTCATTCCTTTTTAAATTGAACAAATATTCTATATTGTTCAATTTACTATATTCTTTAATGTTGGGGAGTCTTTTTATGTAAACTTTAAAAAAAAGTATATTGGCTTTATTTAATTCATTTTTAGATTAGTTAATTCATTTTGCTTCCTTTTAATAATATACAAAGACAATTAAATTGATATATTCTTTTCAGGGTCGTTCGCTGTCATTTAAAACTTTCTTCATTTGGGTTATAATTAGTATTTATCAAGGTAATTGTTTTTTCATTAATGAATTTAATTTTTCTTGTGCTCTTAACTTATTTTTGTTTATGAAAGTTTTATGTATGGAATTTTTGTACAAATATTTATGATGTTCTTAGTGTTTTACTGACTATGGGTCTTAAGTGTCTTAATTACTTTTCTTTATTAACAATACCTTGGTTGTTTATTTAAAAAAAAAGTTTTTGTTTCTCCTAGTGTTTTTAGTATTTCCGCAAAATCTCATACAAGTATAGACTCTATATTAATCTAAATTTTGTGAAAAAGTTATGTTGGAAGATTTTTATAATAGTTATCTTTAGTTTTGAGATAGTTTTAGGCTTTAGATATGATGGAATTAATATGTTAAATATCAGTATTACTTTAGTTGGTGCATACTATGAATTCTTATTTGATGTAATTATATTATGCATTTTTAAAATTTGAATGCACATGTGATAGTTTCTCTGTCCTGTTTCTTTCAATTCTAATTAATTTTTTAAAAGTTTTAATATGTTATTTGTTTTCTTTTTTTTAAATTCTAATATATTTGTTTAAGTTTGTTTATTTGTGGAAAAGAAATTAGTAAGATTTAATTTTGCCCATTATTTGACTTTTCAAAATTAGTTGTACCCATTATGGAAAAATAGTGTTTTTAAAATTTTTCTTCTGTCCTGAGAACTGAGTTTTTTTTAAAAAAGTCCTTTTAAAATTCTTATTTTTTATGTATTTTTGTTAAAATAATGTATAGTATATAATTTTATTTATGATTTGCAGCAAATATAAAATATTAGTAAAACTATTCACATAATTTCTGTAAGGAGTTCAGTTTTTATTAGTGCTACTATACTATTTTTAAATAAACAACATTAACATTTGAATGTAAGCATTTTCTTATCATTGAATTTATTTATTTTGAGTGTCTTAAGTTTTCTAACTAAATAAAAACTATTTGCATAGTGAATGCAAATATTTTTTAATAACAGCAAAACTCTATTTACCCAGACCAGATGAGCCAAATAGTTGAATTAACTGTATTGGTCAAGGACCATGCATTCTTTTACCGTGCCTTTTTGAAATTTTTTTTTCTCATATAAATTGGGTTCTTTTTTTTCGAAGAATTTTAGAGATAGGGAATGAGTTTTTAGTCCTATTTGCTTTTGAAACTCGTGCTAAAGTTATAAAATGGTAGACTTTTTAAATAAGTTTTGACGGTATTTTCAAGTATGTTTGAAAAGTTACAAAGATTGTGCCGTAGTTGCATACAAATATTGACTGTTAAAAGACTGAAGAAAGGCTAAAATGAAAACATACTATTAAAAATTGCTTAAACATTAAATTTATTTATTACTAAACAGGTGGTGTAAAAAGTTGTTACAACATTAAAGTTGTAAAAATATCTACATTTTTAATTAACTGTATTAGTCTGTCTCTATCCTTTCAGATAATTGCCATTCTAATGTAGTTAATAAATTTATTAATGCCGTGTAGATTTAAAATAAACTTTTCTTCAAATTATATTACGATTTCTAAATTAAGTTTTTTTCCTGCATATGTATTAACATATGTAATTGCTTATTTTAGGAGGCATTATAATGTATGGAGCTTTACTCTTATACAAAGCAGAATTCATTCACATAGTTTCGATAAGTTTTACTGCCCTCATCTTTACTGAGCTTCTGATGGTGGCTTTAACTATTAGAATGTGGCACTGGCTGATGGTTGTGGCTGAAATTTTCAGTCTTGTCATTTATTTCTTATCCTTATTTTTCATGAAACAGTTTTTCGGTAATTATCTTTCATTCATTTTTAAGTCTTATTCTCTAAAGTTTTAAAGCATTTAAAAACTAAGATTTTCCAGGAAAATTTTAGAAAAGTGTTTTTTCTCCCTAGTTAAATGGTTTTAGGTTTAACTTGTACAGAATAGAAATCAAAGCATATTACAATTGTGATTATTAACAAGAAACTTAACCTATTTTAGCCATGTTTCAAAATTTTTTTTCTTCCAAAAATCATTCAAATACTGTAAAAGCTTGATGTAACAAGTAGGGCATATTACAAGAAGTTTCTAAGTCAAATTCAAAATTCTAATATTAAGGATACAAAAAGTGTATGTTTATTAACTAAAGTGTTCACTATTTCTTAATCAAAAATGCATTTTTCTACTGTTTTAAGTGAGTAAAATCATTTAAAAAAGGCAAAATTAAAGATATTTTTTATCAATTTCAGCTATCAGTACAGAAAAAGTAAAACTGAACCCCTTTTAATCTTAATGATTAGTATTTTATGCTTACAAATTTATGTGTTTGCAAAGTTATCTTCCAAGTTGCCAAAGAAAATTTTTGTGCTATTTTTAAAAATCCTGCTGCACACTTCAGAACAATAAGCTCTCCTTTGGCTATATGGCTTTATACAATAACTTCTCATGTCCCTTATTGATATCTTACGATTGAAATCAATATTCAGTGTTATTGATCACTATCAAGTTATTGCACATCATTTAACTTTTTCTTGCATCTTAAAAAAAATTCTGTGTCCGATGTACAATCTGTAAGCTGAAGTAGTCTACTATAGATAAATATTTTGAATGAAAATAATTGTGAAAAAAAAAAAGGTTGAGTTAACGTCTCTACTTAATCTTCTAGTACTTTTATTGCTAGTCTTACATTAATGCATGTTAATTAAAAAAAGGGACATTATTAGTAAAAGAAAAAAAAAAGTAACATTTCATATGCTGTAATTTTCTAAGTGACTGTTACAGTTATCAAGATTAATGGATTACAGATGGATACACTGAGAAAAATGTGAGAATTTTCACTTCCAAACGTACAACTGATGCTCAGTTTCATATGGCAGTCATAAATTATTTTAAAAAAAAGGTGTTGGTATTTCTGAGCACTGTCGTCGAATTTAAATTGTGTAGCAATGTGTTAAAATATGTGTATTTTTCATAAAACCTCACTTTAATTATAATTGAATCTGCTATTGTTTATCGTCGATATAATGGACTTTTACTGTATTTTAAATATATATTCTATTTGCAAGTCTTAAAATGTTTAAGGTCAAGCACCATGCATTTCTTCATGAGCCAATTGTATTCCATTATATATTTTTGAAAGAATTGTCTAAATTCATATTTCAAAGCTATAAAAAGGCTTAACGAATCTAATAAGTAAACTACCCCTTTTTGAAATTGGTTTATATATATATTTTTTTTCCATAAATAAAAAGGCCACTTGACTAAGTTGTATATCAGTAGTAATCTGAAGGTTTGCTTTATCCAATAAAGGGATAATTGGAAAAATAATTTGTAATTCTTTTATTGTTTATATTAAAGAAACTGATTGATAAATCACCTTGCATTGAATCTGTAATTTGTATTTTTTTACTCTTGAATTTATCCTTTTCTATCATTTTTATTAGTTTCAAACCATGTTATCCTTTTACAGATGCTGATTTTATATGGACTATTACATTTCTTTGGAAAGTTGCTGCTTTAACTGTAGTGAGCTGTGTGCCTTTGTATATTCTGAAATACTTGCATCGAAAGGTCTCTCCTCCGATTTATGCAAAACTTACATAAAATATAAATTGTTCCTTGTGATATTTTGGGTAGCAGATATGTAGATACGTTTTCAATTAATGAAATGTTACTTAATGTCTTTTAAATTATAAATCTCATAAAACTCATTACCAGCTTTTATTAATCTAACATTTTATAACTTAACATTATTTATTGACATTTTTACTGAATAATTGTTGGTTTATATTCGTTTTTTTTTGCGATACATTTGAGAGCGGATTATCTGGAATCCTCAGGAATTACGCATAAATGATTTTTCCATCTATCTGGATTTATATTAAAAAACAATTACTAATTTCCTACGAGACATATTTTTTTTAATCCTAGATGTTACATTTAAAAGTAAGAAAAATAACACAATTAGATTGATTTAATAAAAAAATATTTATAATCTTAGAATGAACAATCCAACTTTATTGTGATATTTGCTGAGTCCTGGATTAAAAATTCAACTATTTGGTGTAATCCACAATCTGAAAGCATTAGGAAAATATAAAATTACAATGATAATCAACTATGAATATACAATCAGAGTAAAAAAAAAAAATTTAAAAGTTCTTTTGGGAAAATAGAAAAATAATAAAATCAATTGCAAAACATTTCCTGATTGTTTTGCACTCCAGATTTTCTTTTCAATTCTAAACAAATCCTAAAATCATTCCCGTTTCCTGGTTTCCAGATTAAAAGCTCTGTACTGTGTTATGGACTTCCTTTCAATATTAAAATTCATGTATTAAATCAATGAGCTCGATTTGAATTTTTTTTAAATTATAAATAAAAGTATTCCCAGTTGTAAGAATTTTGTAAATATAAATGATATTTGGATATTGTATCATAAAAATAATGTCTGTGATAATGGCCAAGAAACAATATTCTTTTTGCTCAAAATTTCTCGACATTCGAGTGAATAAAATATTTTAAGTTGTTTCTTTACATTACTGGATATATTGTATAAAATTGAAATTTGTTTTATGTTTCAATAAATGCTGGCATTTTATCGAAATTTGTTTTAAGTAGCATCTGGCACCATTTTCTGCATATAAGTCATAAGGATATCCATCTTTTGTGTATAGTAATTATGCATCTTGTATTTAATTTAAATTAGCATTTATTAATTAACCTTCCTTTGTCCTGGCTTTTTTTATACTTTAAACTGGGATACTTTAAATTTTCATCAAAAAACCAGTTTCCCCTCCCGCATATTATTTAGTTGGAAATTAGTGCATAACAAGGAAGTTACAACACAATTTTTACCCAGTAGATCTAGGTTTAATAGGTTAATGTGTTAAAAATTGCACTTTTTTATTCAAATATGATTTTCATCAATTGTTTGAAAAATTTACTTAAGAAAAACAGTAAAATGACTTTTGATAGTTGGAATAATGTAACAAAATATTACAATTGTGATTTTTTTTTCTTCCTATTAAATGGAAATTATATCTTTTTTTTAATAAACTTTTTTTTGCTATTTTTATATTGCATACACATATGTAAGTTATTTCATTTCTAATTAATTTATTTTAATAATTTAAGTATTATGTATGGCTATATTTATGGTTGATGCTGCTTTAGTTATTAGTTTGTTTAGTTGACAACAAATACAATCCTATCTTCACTCCCCAAAAACGTTTGAACTCTCTATTTTGTTATTTAATGGAAATAGAGAAACAGATTATTCTCCCACTGCAGTTGTAATAAAAAGTTTCATTTGGCTATGACTACTTGAATGTTTTTAAAGACTATGTGCAAAAATTAAAATTTTTTTAACCCTTTGTTCCTTTTTAAAAACAGCTATTGTGAAATTGTTTTTCTCAAAATTTAATAATTTAGTTTCCCTATAATGAATATGCATGTTCCTATAATTATATGCATGGTATATGTAATGAATGTGCATGTTAAGTTAATTTGGTGATAAGGAAAAACTGTATGTTTTGGTATACATTGCTGTGTCTTTTGTTGAAATTGTTGCTCAAAATTTTGAAATTGCTGTTAAAAAAAGCAAACAAACTAGGATTTAGATTTTTTTACTGACTGGTACAAATTTCTTAAAACTTAGATAATTTTCTATCCAATAATACTGACACTGGGTTTCTCCAAAATGATCAACAATTTAGAAATCCTTTAAATAAAAGCTGAAAGAGCGAAAACATATGGTTTGCTACATTCTTCATGAGAAATCAAGTAATTAATTTCTGCTTAGATATGAAGTTCGTCTACAAATAACTCTGCTAACTGAGCCTAACAAATTTTCAAAATGTCAGTAGTAACAGCTTGGTATAGTTTGAGAATAAAATTAAAATAACTATACAAATATTAGATTTGCAATGCTCTGGTATGCAACAATTTTGTTTTATTGTTTTTTCTGTTCTTATATGTTGATAAAATTAGTAACTAATTTTGAAACCAAAGGTATATGTGGTGATTAGGAAAGTTGTTGCCAATTTATGAAATTGACGGCAAGTCATTTTAGATTGTAACCGGAGCATTGGCAGAAACTATAACAGAAATTAAAACAAAAAGTTTTTTTTTTTAAATGTTGAAATTTAGGTTTTAGAATTTATTCACAGTTTATTTACAAAAATAATTAAATATTTGAAGCACTCTAAATTTTTTATATTTTAACAACAATAAAATAAGAAAAATATTTCAATGAAAAATCTTGAAAACAGAAATTTGGTACATAATTTTTTGTTCTTACCAAAAAATCATAGCTGCAAATTCTTTGAGATTTTCCTAAAGATTTTATTGCTCTATTTAAAGTGGTTGCAAAATTATGTTTTTTAGTTTAATACTTGGATTTATAAATGCATTTTTTATTTATTTTGACTCTCAACATGTCTATTTATAAAATACTATTAAAATCCATGATTGCAGTTGATTAAAAAGTGACAAAATACCAAAAATGTTAGCCTATACTTATAATTTGGTTGTCACTTCACTAACGCTTGGAGAAATCATTCTGGAAAAGAGTAAAATTTAGCAGGTATGGTGTTGTTTGGCGCCATTTTTCGATTTTACAATCATATTTAACTAAATTAGAATAATGTAAAAGATTTCATAACTAGAAGACAGCAAACCAAAATTTTTGTATCTCTTTTCATTTTTTCCCCAGTTATTTTTCAAATTGTTATTTTTGGGACATCAGGTAAAAGCATTTAAAGATATTCAGGATTGTCGCAAGGGAGTGTAATTCTGTTTCTTATTGTGTATGTATTTTTTTTAATGACATCTAGAGAAAAAGTCTCCCCTTTTTCTTGTAGAAATCAATGTGCCTTTTGATACAATCTTTCATCAGAAAAGTTTTTCACCTGTACTTTTATACTCTATTTTAGTTTTGTATATATGAAGAGAAACATATATTGTTCCTTTCTTTTTTTTTACATTCTTTCCTTTAAATTAAGTTTTCATTTGAGAGAAGGTGCTTTATTGCTGTAATTTAAATTCTCTATTTAATGTAAATATACAAATGTGTAATAAAACGTTTTTGGAAATTTAAGAAGTGTATTATTTTCTCTGATAATATTCATGCATTGGGAATAAAACTATACATACTTGAGTGCTATTATAGTTCAGTCAAATTAAGGTTTAATGAAGACATTTATCTGCTTTGCACTTGTACATCTGTAGTCAGCCATCACAGCAAAGAATCATACTAATCTTAAAACCTGAAACGGTGCTGTTCACTCAAATCCATATATAGTCCATAAAACAATGAAAGGTTTGGATAGATTTGGAGCTGTGTAAAATTCAAAAAAGTATATTTTTCATACTGTTTAAGTTTAATAGAGTTTTTCTGTCTTAAATATTTTTTCTTCTCTATCTTTTATATTAATGTTCTACAAAATTGATTCCCGCCAGTATGATCACTATGTATAAGCATAATATGACTATTATATAAAATAATTAAATAGGACTACTATATAAAATAATTAAATATTAAAATACTCTAAATTTTTATATTTTAACAACAATAAAGCAAAAAAATATTTTAATGAAAAATCTTGAAAACACAAATTTGGTAATAAAGACATTAGTTAATAAAGACAAAGATTTAAAATGACTAACATGGATCTAAAGGGATTTGTTTATAGAAGTCTCGGGTAGTCTTGCATAAAAAAAGATTGCAAAATCCTGTTGCAAGTTTCGCCATTTTCGAAAACTCAGCCATTTTGGAATTTTTCAGTGGTCTACAAAAATGACTACTTATGTTTAGACCAATTAAGTTTAGAACACTGAAGAAATTGACTTAATTGTATACTTTCATATAATTTTGACAATCCTTTGCAATCGCTGGTAAATTGAGAAATTAAATATTTACATTTTAACAAATAATTTTCTGTATTAAATGCACACTAAACTCATGGTGTTTTTATAAAAATTTAAATTTCTATCGTTAACTGACATTTGAAAAATAAATGTGTTAATAGAAAATAAAGAATAGCTACTAATATCATTACAGTATCCTACCTTTGTATTTCCTACCAAGGCCAGAATAAAATTTTATACTGGTTTCACTGGTTTGTAAACAATAACTGGAGAAGGAGATTTAACTTTGACCTGTACAAGATTTATAAACAACCTGATATTATTAAATACATAAAAATAAATAGAATGAATTGGATCGCCCACGTGATTCAAATGAGCGATGACAATACAATAAAAAAGATACTGCTTTTTAGACCAGCTGGAACAAGAAAGCGGGGAAGGCAGCGGTTGAGATGGGCTGACTCAGTGGAGTCTGATTTTCTCACAATTAATGAAAAGAACTGGAGATCAAAGATAAATCGGAAGTCGTCATGGAGAAATATTCAGAGGAAGGCATTGGCTCACATTGGGCTGTCTGGTATAAAACTATGATGACTGGTTTCACTTCACACTATGCCTTATGCATCATACCCAACGCTGTTTCTGAAAGCGTTTATTGAATGTTCTAGTCTACTTTTCTTTATTTGCAATACATATTAAGTGTTGGTTTGATTAGTTTTTAAAAATATCTGGTTTAACTGTTATTTAAATTGTTATTTGTGCCATAAAAATTAAAAGCAAAAATTAGTTTTTCTCTTCAGAATCGTGAAAACCCCAGCAGGATTTCAGAAGTTTTTATGTGAGACTGACGTTAAAAAATCTTATTGGGTCCCGGCTTGTTATTTAGAATATTTAGATGTGGAATTTTTTGAAACTGCGTCTGATTTTAAAAACAATTATTTTTTTATTTGAATGAGCATGATTTTATATCCGCACTATTTAAAATCATTGAAAACTACCATTTATACATATGCATATAAACAAGCTATTGAGTGATTATTTTATGCATAAATGAATTTAGAGTTTCCACTTTTTACATAAATGAAATGTTAAGCATTCACAGTTATTGAAAACGAAATAGTTAATGAAGACAGAAATATGTTTGATGTCTACAAGGGGTTGCCTTAAGGTTCTAAACTTGTGTCATGGTAGCTGTTAGCTATAAAATTTATATTCGCGTAATGTAATTTCATTGTATCTTTTTAAGGAATTAAATAAATACAATGTCTAATTCTTTCCTCAAGGGCACACTTTAGTGTGACGGGTATGGCAAACCCGAGGTACCCTAGCTGGAATATTTTCTAGGTATATTTTGTGTCATCCATGTACACCGTATCCTCATAGTAGATTTCTGATTTTAAATGTTGATCTCTATAATATTCTTGCACTGTTATATTAGTTGAAAAAACAAAGGAACTTCGAGTCAAGTACTTAGACAATATATATATATATATATATATATATATCATCAGCATTGGCACGACAGCCCTTTGTGAGCCTTGACCTTCCTCCAAAGCTTTTCCCATTCTGCCCTTCTCCCAGCAATTGATTTCCAGTTCTTTACTTTTAGGATGGCAAAATCCTCATCCACACAGTCTTTTCATCTCTTTCTGGGCCTTCCTTTCTATGGCCTTTTATTGGAGGGGGTTGCATTAAAGACTCTTAAGGCTGTTCGTTCTGGGCTCATTCTCATTACATGCCCGGCCCATCTAATTATACTTAGCTTAATAGATTTAATGATATCATCACTATTAAAGATCTTATATGTTTCAAAATTATATCTTTTTCTCCAGTTGTTGTAATCGAGGATAGCGCCAAAGATGGTTCGTAGGACCTTCCTTTCGAAGGTTGCTAATAACTTCTCTTCCCTTTTTTGTTAAAGTCCATGTCTCTGAAGCATAAGTCAAAACTGACTTGATTAATACCTTATAAACTAAAATCTTAGTCTTTCTTTTTATTAAGTGAGATTTCAATAATGATCTTAAACCATCGAAGCAGCACTAGTCTTGATCTGATTCTATGTGGCTATTTGGTGTCTGGAACTTCACTTTTTCCGATTGTGACCGAGTGGTTCAGACCCGGTTTAATATAATGTTCCCAGTGGTTTCAGACCTGAAAGCTTACGCAGCGGTTAGTCCGTTCTCAGTCCGGATAATAACTATTACCAGTTGCTTTCCGATATAAATTGTGTCAGTGCAGTGCGTGCATGCATCAGTATTGTCTACAGATTGACCGTATATCTTGTGCGAAGTTAACAGCTGAACCAAACCCTGGTCCAGATACCTGGTCCGAGTACGATCTGTAACTGAAACTAGAGAACTCTAGCTTTCTTAAAAACGCCAAAATTTTATTTTTCCATCACCGAGCACCTGTCTTGTGTATTGTTCTGATAGTTATGGTTGAGTAACACTTTTGATATAAGGCCAAGTCAAATACTTTTTGAATGCTGCTTTTTCGATTTCTCTTTGAAGGAAGTTAATAACTAAAAAGCAAATATAGTTACACCGAGTAATTCTATTGTTTAAAATCAAAGTAAAACGGGTCCAGTAGTGGACTGATCGTAAAGACACGGTTTCCAGTAGAACATCGAAGGCAAGCATTACTGGCTGAGGTTAGTAAGTGTGTGAGTGCCCACTTTGATCAGTCTGCGTAGGGATGGTGGTTGCTCGGTATCAGTCCTCTTTCAACAATTCTACAGTGAAGTGCTCGACTTCGGCCTAACAAGTAGAGGAGTTATCCCCTTTGCAGAGGATCAAAATTCTGATGGCATGTCTTCGGATCATTCACAGGAATGTTTCCCAGACGTTGCCATTAACATATTGTGAAGTTCTATTATGGCGTAAATAAAGTACCCAACTACGAGTAAAATGGCTTAAAGATTATTTTTAAGGCAGTCTCATGAAAAAAATAATTTGAAAGTGTACCATTCGAGTGCAGGAGATGCGTGACTGGGCTGTATCGGATGTTGTCATGTAGTAATTCCATATTGAGTATGTTGTTGAAATTCACTGTGATGAAATCTAAGATTTTGTAAAATTTGGCGTTTCTATTGTGGAAGGTACTCTAATTCGTGTTATTTTAAAGTCATTTTTTTCTTCCTTTAGTCTTCATTTTTAATAAACTGGAGCGCACCTGTCATTCTTAGGGTATTGTTTTTAAAATCTTGAATTTGTGTTTGAGATTGTAGCCCCATGCAATGAATGCATGAATAATTATAGTACATAGTAATCTTTTATTCTTGAGAGTTTGCTGTTTTAAAGATATCTGATGGCAAAGTAAAGGGCAAAATTAGGAAAATTCGCTAATGGCCTATGGCCACTTTCACAAAAGTTAAAAATTTTTATCGATTAAAAAAAAATTATATTAATGTTAAGCATTTTTTGTGAAGAATTTGTCAAAATATTGTAGACTTTAAAAGATTCATTTCTAAAATCAAAATAAAATGTAAGAAGCAAGCTTCGAATTTTCGTCCGAAAATCTCATGTTCAGACAGCCCCCAGATACCAAAGTGAAAAGTGTGCATAAGTCAAATCAAAAATTGTGCTTTTTATCCATGAAAACCTTCGCAATTTTCGAACTTTTCATTCTCGACTGACTCGTGTATAGTTTTATTCGATTCAGTGTAAAAAAAAATTAAAAAAAAAAAGCACGCAGGAAACAATATCTCACTTGTTTAGATCGCAATACGTCAAGTACTAATTTGTATTTTTTGTACACAATTCCCTTATAACATCTAAACTATTCGTGCGATTGTCGCGTGGTTGGTCTCATTCTATTCAGCATGAAAATGTATATCGGAACCAAAGTCTCGCCTGCCTGTCCGAAAGAAATTAAATTCTCCCCCTCAAATCACCCCTACTTTCTTAAAAAAAAGGGGGGGGGGAGGGAATATTCAAATTGTATTTCTGAGGACAAAGCAAAGCTTTATATATATATAAAAAAATCTTAGGTAATAACTTTTCTGAAGAAAAAGTCTTAATTTTTCAGGACATGATAGTCTTGCACGTGACGATGAAATTGCCATTTAATGTTATATTTAAAAAATAAAATAAAATAATAATTCTTTTTAGCTTTTAAGTTTTGAATTTGAATATCAAAAACATTACTTGTAGAAAAATAACATAAATTGAGAGTTTAAGCGACGGGAATGAAGCGCACAAATTACTATGATTTTTTCTTTTTTTTTACAAACGTGAAAAATGACAGAAAATTTCTTTTTTTTTTAACTTTTTATTTAGTGGAAAAAAAAGCGTTTTGAAGAAATAAAAATGTTAATTAACAGAAACATTAAGTAAACTATTCCCTGTAGAAGAATAAATTTTGATGGATTAATGTGGAATAGAGAAATCGTTTGGTTTTTTTAGTTGACCAGCAACTTTTAACGAATTCTTTAATAAAAAATATTTATTTAACGCATATATCAGAATTAAGTGCTGATAGATAATTGATTTTTGTAAATGATCTAAATAAATATCATTTATGAAGCATGCTTTAATTCAGATTGTTAGAAAGGCTTATCTTCATAAAAAAAATTTCGATTTTTCCGAAGTAGGGTGTTACTGTAACACTTTTAACATCTCCAAAGAGTGCGGATTGAAATATTTCGAACTCTCGTACGCTCATATACTCACGATCTGTGAGTTTCCACAAGACACCTCCGATTCTTTGCAGAGGTTGTGCAGAACTATAGGCTCTATATATAAAAATAATCCAACAATAATAAAAGTTTTTCTGACAAACATTTATTTTTTTCTTTTAATTTTAATGAAACCATTTTTCAGCTCATTCATTTTTAGTTTATGGATGTACTAAAATCAAATAAAGATTGGATACTGCCTCAGACCTGAGAACTCTCCGACATAAAAACTAATTTCAAGACGATATGATGAAAAAAATTCATTCTTTATTCATTCACTGAATATTTTCAAAATAATTAATAAAATTTAGATCATTACATATGTTCAAAATAATTGTCTTTCGTTAACTAACGTCTTCACAATTGCTAAAGAAATTTATTAAGTTTTGGGGTTCCACCGAAAGAAAAATCGATCATTTAGGGTTAAGAGGAGCTGATACACTATCTTAAATCTATCTTAGATTAAGAAACTGGTTGTGTGGTTTAAACCCAGACGATAAATCAAAAGTTATTTAAATTATAATTTTGCAGAGTAAGAACAGTTTTGCGTTCGGTTATTGTAAGGGTGGGTTCAAAATAAAATTACCACTAATTATCAAGAATCTTTATTTCCAAGCATTATTTATAACAGGCACTCACTATATATGTATTGCATTTTTTAGCATTAAACAGTCATCAAAGCATTAGTGCAAACATCGCTGCTTCACTCTTACATCTTAAATAATAAATGTGTGAATAGAAAACAACAAAATAATTTTTTTTCTTCATGATTTAGAAAACAATTTCAAAACAACAATCATATCTATTTACAATTGTATCAAAATCTACATTTTGTTGATGATACCAGCATCAATTCCAAGAGATATCAGTATTCAGCTTTGATTACATTAGACTTCAAAACGAAGGCAATATTGACTGGCCGTCACGAGATAAACTCTCGCAGGAAAAGAGTAAAAACTGATTGCAAGACTATTTCTTTTTAAGCATGTTTTCAAAGGAGTAAAATATCCCAGACTACCTTGACTTACTACAGTTATAACACACATCCAGTAAGTCACGGTAGTAAATGATTTTTTTCTTACTACTATGCTTCAAATGGATTGATCTTACCACCAGTTTTATTCTGATTTTTATATAGCGCTTTCTGCGGTAGTTTTTCTCGTGACTGTAAGTCAATAAATTTTTTTCCCCCACCTGTTATAACATTTTTCTTCCTCAAAAGCATTGTTATGGTGAATTTTGATAGTTTGAATTAATATTTAATCGTTTTCTCTATTGTTTATATTTTTGAAAGGCTTTTTTTAAAAAAAAAATATTAGTAAGATAGTTCTATATCGACTGCTGCTTATTTGGACACGTGCTCTACACTAAAAGACTTCGACTGTATTTTTAAGAAGTACTGGAGAGCTAGAAGCCAAATGACCTAATAGTCAATGGCTGGCAATTGTTTAATAATATATCGAATCTATAAGAAAGTAATTTCATTTTTGATTTCTGACATCATATACGTATTTCGAGCCTTATAAGTATTCATAGCATTTCATATGTTTAGGGTTCCTGCGGTCTTTGAAAAGTTTTAGAAGTGAAAGTAAATTTAGGTTAATGCTAGAAGATATTTCTTATTTTATTAAATGGCTTTATCGTTAAGTGGTTTTAGAAGCTGGAATTTTCATGCATTTATGCTTTTATTGGAAAACAATCTGTAGTGGTGGTTACTAGAAATGAAAATATCAATATTTGTTTTATTTTCGTTACCGCTTTCTAAAATTTTAAGTGTCCGCGGGTATCTTATACGTAATAATACTAAGTGTTAAGAAATTTTAAAATATATTCATTTGTATGTCGTGAAACTCCGTTAAAATTATTTTCAATTATGAATATTTTTTGTTGGTTTTATATAACATACAAGATTTTTTAATCGAGCAGAAAATAACGCATACAAAATTTAAATACATGTTTTGGGGGCCAATCTTGCTACCACACAGTTACATAACAGTCAGGGCTGTCTTTGGATCATCTTCAGGGATGTTTCCCAGACCGTCGCCAATAGCCCATTGTGCAGCTCTAGTGCGACGTAAATAAAGTACCTACCTACCTCTATTATACAAAATATACACAAAAAAATATATTTATTTCAATGGTTTCAATTACTCTCTATAACTGAGTTTTTTTTACAGTGGAACCGAGTTCTTTCAATTCTTTTTTATTAGTAATATTTTTATGATTAATAGAGATAATCGGACCCCTACTGTGCAAAAATCATTTGAATAAATATTCATTATTGTGCATTTTCAAATGTTTTCTAGAGCAATATTCTCGTAGTGTCTTACATTTTTTGGACGTGTTTCAAGATGTTCTTTATCACCAATCTTGCTCGCCAATCGAGTTTTTCGAACCAAAAGATTTTAGTCTCATCAGATCCGTGAATTAACAATTTAGAAGGCATATAATACCAAGCATATAATTTAACATACAGTTTGGCAACAATGTTACATTACGTCTCAAACTTGTCCACAACTTTCTTTTTGAAAATTAGTCAAATATTGACTAAACATATTTTACTCATTATTGCACATATTACACTTGCAATTGGTTATTTGATCTGATCGCTAATCAATAGAGCTCTCTAATTCAAACAAATATTATTTTGGTAATGTTGTTTTGAAAGTGTTATTTTCCGAGTTTCAAAACACGGAAATTTTAAGAAAAAATAGAAATTGGTAACATTTACTTCAGCTTTATTCGGTATTTAATTAATAAAAAATCGAAGAATCACTAATTGAAAAAAAAAGAAGGTATTTTTGTTAATACTGTGTCCATAAAAGAATGTTGGAAACATTAATCGTATCGACTGTTATCGTTGTAGAGTGTTGGTTCAACCTTACAATTAAACATTAACTGAAACAGATTTAGATTACCAGTATGTACGAGTACAATTGTGATGTTTGTTTTTGCTTGCAGCGCCACGTATTCAAAATGGCGACTCCTGATCGTAGTCTTCTGCAATTCTCTGAATGAATCTGCATCTGTTATAAAGTGTATTTTCAATTCAACGTGCATATCATTTAAGGTTTAATTGTGATCCCTAAATTAGTAAAAACACCCTCTGAGGATTTATGAAATATCGTGATTATGTGCCGCTGCTTCCGAAGTATTTGCCAGAGTTGAGACTCTGGATTGAAGAGGCCTTATTGCGTCCATTATTGCCAGATTTGTATCTTGCGTTGCTGTAAGTGTGCCGTATAACCAATGGGACACATGTTCATTATTTCTAAAAAAAAACTAGGTTAGTTTACTTTTAATATGATGTGGTTAACTATTATAATATTCAGATTGTTGATTATATTCCGATTTTTTGTAATACAATTAGAAATGGGACAATCTTTAATGCCACCCTATGTGATAAAATAGGCTTTTGATGTTTATTAAAAGAAGAGTGTGTCCATCATTCCATATGAAATAAATAATCTTTCGAAATCTTCTAGAGGTTTTTATAAACACCGTGTAAAATCTGTTGAATACAGTACAAAAAGAACTTTCTAATGAAAGAAGAATCTTCACCTGAAAGCAATAATTGTCTTCATTATTGATTTCTCTAATCAACATAGGTTCGAATAATTTATTTCCACTTGCTCTGATGCTTCTCACTGCGTAATTGAGATCTGTTAACGGAACGAAATTAACTTTCCTGTTTTCCGTTTTTTTTTTACATCCTGCCTTTTCGTCTTCTTGTTCGTGGAATATCAGGAGTCAGGTCGTAGCAGATGCACACGCAACAAGATGGAAACCGAAACCAGTCGGAGAAAATTCCACGGCACTCATTCTTGGGATCAAATGCCAAAAGTCTGTGCAATCTGTATTGCTGCTCACACCGACACCCGTCTCTGCATAACATTTGATGATTTTCGAATCTATATAAATGAAGAATAAATATTAGTCCATAGAAACATTTGCATCAAAATGACATGCTTTGAATGATAAGTTAACGACAAATTCGAAACTTCGTTAATTATACTATTTCGAACGTTAACGAAACACATTTATCCATCATTTTAATTTCAATTGAACACCATAAGTGTAAAGCTTTCTCTTTATGATTAAATCCAGTGTAAAAATCCCTTTTTATTTCTCTCAAAATTTTATTTTAAATCCAAATTTTGGACAGGACTTTTGATTTCACCGATTTTGCGAGCACATATATCTCATATACTCGGTGGGTATTAGCGGAGTTGAGGATCGAATCCCGGCTCCTCCAGTCCGGAATGAATCCGATTATTTTATAGTATCAGACATCTGTGATGGATATTATGCAGAAGACTTATCACAAATCAATTAAAGTGAAGTAATTACTGACACTAGATCAATTTAATATCTTTTTTTATTGTGAATATTAACGTATTATGGTACACATTAATAAGTTTATTAAGTTAACAACATCTTGACTGATCGATTAAAATATATACTTACGCGCATTTTTCGAAATGAACATATTGTTCAAAGGGGTGGACGTTCAAAAGAGCCAATGTTTCGCCTCTGGTATTATTCGCCCAGTAAGGAGCTATTACTTCATTCTTCACTGGGCAAGCATTTCTAAAAATAAAAGATAAGTTGCATTATTTATTTTAATCTCATACACAATAAAATAATAAAAAAATATTAGAAATGTTACTTTTAAACGATACAGTTGAAGCATTCATGGAAACCACTTTTACATAAAAAAAAAAAAATTTCAAACATATTTAAACTATTTAACTTCTCTGTGGGTTCCGTCATTATGACGCAACTTATCACTGAAAGTTTTCGTCGCGTGGTTAGAGAAAGCCTCTAACATGTAGTTGGCATTACGCCAAAATTATGAAATTTTCCTGTTTCTCAACTAATGAATTCGCGCTAAAAACATTTATCCCCATGTACAAGCTGACCAGCGTCTGGGAAACATAAAGAAACTGATAGTTAAGTTTCTAATATGATGTTCGAAAACTTACTTCTTTGCTTTTTCAATTTAATAGTCAGAGAAAGAAAATCTTAGGCTATAACTAGAAAGGCAAAGTCTTGAGTTTCCAAATGTTCTTTTCGGAATTTTACTTCCTGTTTTTAGTTTTCACGGGACTCTGGTCAACTTACCTATACATCACAAAACTTTTATCGTCTCTTCAATTCTCATTGGAGGGAAAGAATCAAATGATATAATCATTAAAAAATGAAGAAGTGTCAGACATCTTTGGTTGTCATCAGCATTACTTTAATAAGTCATTACTTTTTTTAATTGTAAATTATTTATTCCCCCCCCCTCTTATTTATTGTTATTTATAACTAAAAATATTCTTTTATAATTTTCAATATTATTCTCTGTTACAACTACGTATAAAAGGAATGGATACTTTTTTATTTGTTCAAAATTGAATCGGAAATTAAATCTGTGAGACTAAAAATTTTGGTGAAACATTCTAGTATTGTTATGAAACCAAAATGATATCAAATCAATCGAGGGAGTTGGCACACAAAGCGAGCAGGGGGCAGTGTCACTTAGTATGACATAAATTAATTTTTTTAAAAATACTACTTTATTTTATACTTCATTCTAAAAAAGCGTGTTAAAGTTGTTTTGACGATAAAAGTTTTTGTTCTGTAATATCTGGTTAAAATTTTTACAAGAAATAAGGATTTGAAATTTAAAACGTTTCCTGGCAACATCGTACTTTAAGTACTCAGTTGGCTTTAAATCATCATATATTTTAAATATCATATATTTTTTTCCAACATCATTCTTTGATTTCGAAGGGAAATATCCCAATCATTTTTGCAAAGTTTACAAAATATAATACAAGTTCAGCTTTGTTCTAAATTTTCACAAAAGCATTTAAGCCTCGAGGGCCATTTGCACTTTAGAATTTTCAACTTTTCGACGTAACACCTCTAGCTAAAATTTTGCACACCTGGCGTTTCTTAGACTAAAAGGTAGATTCATTTTTTTTTAATTTGAAATATCAAAGAAAGCTTTCAAAATGAAGGTTACTTTCTTCTTCCTATAGGTAGAATATTAAGTAGTTGAAGTAAAAGTAAGTTTCTTTAAATAGAATACGAGTTAATACGGAACACTGCCACGAAGTGCATACTTTGCATATCGGTAAGCTTATTGGATATTTGGAGATTTTGAAAGTATAATAAATAAAAATGTAATTTAGGAAAGCTCAAAAATATTTCAGTAATTTAATTCAGTAGGAGAAATTTTATAATAAGGGTCCACACAGAAACTCACATTACAGCTTTTACACTCATACTTAGATTTTCGTCTTATATCGTTTGCATTGTAAACGTCGTAATTTCTATTAACGGCTTTTACCTTCCGATTTGTAAGCCGAAGGAAAAGGTCTTTTTGACTTACAAAACATTAACAAGCGTATTCAAAATATACTTTTGGTGGTTTAAATCCTCTATAGGTCAATGGAATATTAGCCATTGCAAGTTTGACGGAGATTGAACCGGTTGTCACGCCGTATCACGCTGACGACGGCTAAATACGGCGTTGGTATACGCTGGGAGTTGCTAGGATTAGGGCTAAATACGGCGCTCGTCATGAAAGAGTTAAGTTTTGGAACTCTACAAACATTGGTGCTTCAGCCGTGGTGGCTCAGAAGATAGAGTTCTCGCCTCTCAACGAGGTGACTCGGATTCGAATCCCAGCTAAAGCTGGTCGATACGAATTCTGCACCCAGCTCATACCAACCGCACTGCTGACATAAAATATCCTCAATGGTAAATGGATCATAGGTAAGGGCTCCCTTTCTGTCAGGCTGTCCGTGGGAGATTTCCGCTGTTTCTCCTCTATGTAACTCAAATGTGGTATAGTTCCATGAAAAAGTCTTCCACGATGGCAAACTTCTCTTGATCCAGATGTTCCTTTGTCTTCTGGATTGGGTTCAGAATTACAAGGCTGTGTAGTTGAACATTGGTAGTCGTAAGTTCAAAAATGGATCGGCTGTCGACGGTTATAAATTTGGGTACTTTATTTTCTATCACTTTATAATTTTTTTTTATCAAAAGCGGGTCAGTTCGCATGCCTGATTACAGTTATCAAATTTTAAGAATAAGACATTATTATAGTAAATCGTTTTGTTAGCAAATTTACAATTTCAAATTCTATCACAAATATCTAAAGCTTTCAAAATCTTTTTCACATTTTAAATACGAAAATCATAAATTCTTTTATGGAATATTTACACTCTTTATAGAATAAATGTTATTTTACTACTTCTCAACTTATATGTGAAGTTACAGAAATACGTATTTCATATCTGTTTCAAGGGATACGAATACAAAAATGTGTTTCTGATGCAACGTTACAAGGCATTTTAACATAAAATTGTTTGTGAGTACTGTTTATATGACGGATAGCTAGCTAGAAGCTTCTTAGAAAGGCTTATTATAATGGCTTACTTCGTGCAAATATCGCAAGGGAAGTGACAGCATATCAAACCGATTTCATATTCAGATGATGCATTAATATTCCATTGGTTTCTTCCAGAAATAAAAATAGTAAAAAAAAATACGATTCTACCTGGTCCATAAAAACATAAGCCTTGGAAAATATTCTAAGGCAGTCGTTTTCATTGCACTCAAAAATAAAATTAAATAAACGTGAAATGTTTAAATTTTTGAGTAAAAATGATAGAAAATACGATTAAATATTTATATTTTCCCAGAAAATGAATAACATAAATTTTCAGGTAAATAATTCCCTTATGAAAGTTTTAATGTCAAGATGCTCTACTTTAAAAACATCGGATTTATTATTCAATTTAATTCTAAATTTTATTGTCCTGGTTGTACTGCTTATAAACCAGTTACATCGACTTAAATTGGAGACAATCCACGTATAAACCTTGTTGAATATCTTAAAGACGTATATTTCCGAAACTTTTAAATAGACTTTTAATTCTGATCAAGTGTTGAGCCTGGTGTAGCCTTCTTTGGCTCTTGAGCAAAACATTTAAACTAATTTACTAACTAACCATTTTTTTTCCTGCTAGTAATCTAGATTTTAATTTAGATGATCAAAACCTAACCTAATTTTTAGCGTGATGCGGCCAAAACTAATCGTTTTCGAAATTATGTTTTTAGAATTGTTTTTGTTTTGTTGTATTCTGAGCAGCAATCCATTTTTAGTGCATCATTATTTCACAAAAAATTCCTATATTTTACCTTATTAGTGCTACAGATACTAGTAAAATTTTAATTTTTCATGTGTGACATTTTGCAATTTGTACAATCATGGAAACTGCTTTTCTTTCTAGTTATACCTAGGGATGTAACGAATAGTGATTTGGCTGAATAGCTGAATACCGAATAATCGGTCAAGAAAACCAGCCGAATGTCGAATATGGTGGGCAATTAGCAAAAATTATTTAAATTTTTTTTTACATAAATATTTTTTATTTATAAATAGTTTACTAGTAAAATTTTTATTTTTCACGTGCGACATTTTGCAATATTTATCCAACTGACTATCATGAAAATAGTTTTTCTTTCTAATAATACCTAGGGATGTAACGAATAATGATTTGACCGAATAGCTGAATACCGAATAATCGGTCAAGAAAATCAGCCGAATACCGAATATTAGGCAACCAAATAGCAAAAATTATAAATTTTTTTTTTTTACATAAATATTATTTATTTATAAATAGTTTAGTTATTATTGAAAAATAATCAAAACTTAGCTATATTATTGGTGTTTTGTAGAGGGAAAAAAGCTAGAAAGTTATTCATTAGAAATAATTAAGATAAATAAAAAAAACTGACAAACAGCTATAAAAAGAAACAAAAAAAAAACTAAAGTTGTAAAGTTAAAAATAAGAGAAATAGAAACAAAAATCTATGTAATTCTTAAAACAAAACTTTAATGTTGAAAATAATAATTTCCGAAAAAGGAAGTATCCGTAAAATGTTAAAGAAGATATAGTCTATCAGAAGCGTTTTCAAAATTGCTGTGCTATCATAAAAACGTCCATAAAAAGATTACATACAAAAATGAAACAAACAAAAAAAATTGATCTCAATATTTGAACGAAAACTGATATTGAAACGAAAAAGAAACAAAAACGATATCGCAAATTAACGGATCACTAGTGAAGAAGGTGGGATTGAAAAACCTCTCAACCCATGATTAATGGAGGAAACGAACGGAAGTTGAAAGGTGATTATTAGATATACTCTACTCTCTGATCTCTTAAGTCAGTTAAACTATTTTTCGTTTTTTAATCCACCTTCCTTACTAGTGATTCTAAAGATATTATTAGCGGTTTTATTTCTACCAAGCGAAATATAGATTCAGTGAACACAAAGCAAAAAATAACGTGCATACTTTTCTTTTAAAAATTCATTTTAAAATTGTTTATAAAGAGCTGTGATCATAAAACAACCTACATAATATTTCATAAAAATATTTGCAAGTATATGATACAATAATTTAAATTTTAAAATAAAGTACAAGAGTCTTCTCTAAACCTTGATTGAGTGCTTGCTCATAAATTTCGACGGAAATAAAGACTGGTTTAAACTATATTAGGAAATGGTAACCTTTGTATTGAAAACTTTTGTAGTTAAAAGTATGAGTGACAAAGATTCTGGATGAGAAGAAGCAAGTTTATAGACGCTCTTAACTAGTAGGAAACGCTTAACTGATCAGTCGAAAATTTATTAGAGGCAATTCAATAAAACTATCCAACTTCCGATAATAATAGAGATAGAAATATGAGGAACTGACTCTTGACATTTTAAGATCCAATAATTTTTCTCACAGAGAGCTATGAATAATTTCATATTTTTTGAATAAGGTTTTAACTGTTAAAACTGTTAACGCAATTCGATGCTATGAAATTTTTTTTGTGGTTTAATGGAATTACATAATTTAATTCTCCTATGTGTGCTTGTCCAGCAGTATTTTGTCTCCTATGTGTGTTTATTTTTACTAAACACATCCTTTTTGAAGGGTTTAGCTTTCTCAGATAAATGCAGGTCTCACTACCATGAGGTGTCTTTGAGCGTTTTTTTTGTTGTTGTTAGTCTTAGTTTATAGCACCATTAGGTCAGTAACAGCTTTAAGCTATTGACATTTATTTTAGATGAGTTTAAGACGCAATACAGCAAAAAGTATAACACTATTGTCCAAAAATATTAAACGCTACATATAACATGGAGGCGCGTAAAGTTGAGACAAACTTCTAGGGAAATTAGGGCATATCATCAGGATTTAAATTGCCCAGGAACCCATGCCCGGGAATGTCGTTGTAGACCGCTAGGGTCGCTTTCCTCTTATAAACTGTTTCTAAGCTTGTTTCTGAACAAGAAAGCTTACTTAGTGGCGTATGACATTTGTTTCTAGGCATGGATTCCTATGCGATTTTAATCCTGATGATGTGCCCTAACTCACTAGAAGTTTGACGCAACCTTTACGCTCCTCAATGCTATATATAAACTACATTTCGTCAAAAACTAGACTAAAAATGTAATTTAAAATAAAAACTGAAGCTTGTAGAAAAAAAATCGATCGTAGATTTTAAATCAGCGATACGGAATTATCTAAGATCTCTTAAGAAATCTCACGTGACATTTAAAAAAATTGTTCTCTTGTGTAATTTTCTAGCACTTTTAATATCGTAAGACCAAGTTAAAAAAATTCTTCTTATACTTACATTCCTCTTCTCGGCACCTCTTCTTTTTCTTCAGCTTCAGTTGTCGTGTTTTCTTCCTGCTTTTCTTCTTCAACTGATGCCTCAGCCAGAAGATCTTCATCGTACTTCTGTGCGCTATCAAAAGTATTCGCATTGGGCTTTTTCGTATCTATATCATCCTTGTATCTAGTTTTTTCTTCAACACTATTTTGCAAAACAGATTGATCCGTTCTTCTTTTTGGCTCAAATTCATATTCTTCTTCGAATTCAACATAACCGATTCGTTCCATGGCAGATGGCAACGGTTCTGCTTGAGCTTCCGTGGTGCTTGGTTCTGTGGCTGTCGTTGACGTTTCTGTGGTGATAGGCTCAGTCACTGTTTCAGATATAGGAAGAGTCTCTGTCGTAGTTTGAGTCCTGGTAACGGTTGTAGTTTCGTCTACTTTTTCCGTAGTCGTCGCAGCTACCCCTTCCTTGTTTTTAGTAGTAGTTTCGAATTCAGCAGCAGGTTCGTAGGATACTGTTGAACCTTGAGATGTCATCGATTGAGTCACGGCTTCTCCGACTTTAATCGATGTCTCGGTCACCACTCTAAAAATGGTTGCTGGCTCTGAGGGGTCTGGTCCATTCAATTCAATGATTTCTGGTTCATCTTCGAAAATCTGTGGTCTCGGCTGGCGTCGATTGGACTTTCCCGATCGTGGTCCGGACTTAACGGATCTGCCGTATACAGTTCTGCTGTGAAAGCCTTCGTAGGCATTTCGAAGCATTTCAAATCTGAGTCTGAAACCATCTATTTCATTTAACAATACAGAGCTGTGTTTTTCATCACCGTACATTCGTCGAACAAGACCTTGATTGTCATTAATATAACGTTTAACAGAGCTCCTACGGAGAAAAAAAATATGATAGAATTTTGAAAGAGAAATCATAAGCAATAAATAAATGTAAAAAATTACTTATCTTTTATAAAGGGTGTTTATAAAGTCCCGGACCCATTTTGATGTTTAATAACTCATAAAATAATAAAGATAGATTAAAATTAATAACATAAATGGTTAGATAGACTCAAAAAGTTTCATGACCCTTGTCAATGAACTTCCACGTGTGCCCCCCCCCCCTCTTCTTCGCACGGAGAATATCAAGTCGATAGTCAATTTCACGCCACGTAGCGTCAAGCATGTCGGCATCCACAGAGGCTATTGCGGTTGTAATTCTGGCTTTTAGGTCATCAATGTTCGACACGATCCTCCTGTAAACATTGTCCTTTATAAATCCCCAAAGAAAAAAGTCTACGGCGTTATATCAGGCGATCTGGGTGGCCAAGGAATTGGACCTCTTGACCTACAGAAAAGACGGTTTCATCAGTCGTATACTTAGACATGTTGGAAAACTTCGTATTTCCACAACTAAAAGAGCTTCAGTCACATGTCTTTTTGCAACAAGATGGTGCACCACCTCATTGGGGTATCATAGTTCGTAGTTCTTTGAATGACCATTTTCGAGGAAGATGGATTGGGCGAGGAGGTCCAATTCCTTGGCCACCCAGATCACCTGATACAATACCGCTGGACTTTTTTCTTTGGGGATTTATAAAGGACAATGTTTATAGGAGGATCGTGTCGAACATTGGTGACCTAAAAGCCAGAATTACAACCTCAATAGCCTCTGTGGATGCTTGCTTGCCGCTACCTGACGTGAAACGTGAAATTGACTATCGACTTGATGTTCTACGAAGGGGACACACGTGGAAGTTCATTGACATACCAATAATAAATACTGCGTTGTTTAGTTCCCTTTTGTATAACCACTTCAGAACTTCATATTCTCTCCTTTGAGACGTACCTCATCCTAATTTAATGCTCTGAAGACGTCTGATTTTATAACTCTATTTAGTTCTAGTTTCAATCTAGTTCTTGCAAAAATTTTTTTGATCTTAAATTATAAATTGTTTAAATTTTAATCTAGTTATTTTTATATTTGCCGAGATATTAAAAATTATTTTAATCTTAGGCATGATTTTTCAAAAATCATAGTCCTTGTACCAAAAATCAGTTCAAATGGAACCAATCAGTTACAATCAGCCAATAAGTTACAAATAAAGCCAATAGAAATATGTTTCTATTGGGATAGGAATGCGAATTGTCCAATAGGAATAAGGCAAATTGATTGAATAATAGTAGAACACTGATCTAGTTCAGCCTCTGACTTGGATATCTCTATACTACATTTAGTTGAACTCCATTATTATTTTTGCGTCAAGTCATATTGTAATTTTTTTACCCAATGGCAAAATGAGAGTTGTTTTGGATTTAATGGCGTTAGCATCTTATTTGGACAGCATCACACTTTTCAACTGTGTTCAAGAGTAATAGTAAACAGTGCGCACTCGTCGTCATTGCATGCGTTTCTATGGCGACCGCTGCTGTTTGATAATTTTTTTAGAATTCTTTTTTTCCACTTTTAATTTTGTTATGCATTAAGTTAGTTAGTTTATTTTTGAGATATGGGACCAGAGAGATCCCATAAATACTTGAGTTGCGAATAAAAGAGAATTTACTCATTTGAACGATATATTTTTGTTTTTATTGTTTTAACTAAGAATCAGAAATTCAACCTACAGTTCAAACTGGATAGTTTTCAATACTAATTCAGGTGAATACCACAAATAATGAGGGTTCCAAACTGATTGACACGGTCCCAAAGGTTAGAGTTGAAGCAAGGAAAAAAAACGATGCCAAGGCCTAAACTTACCGAGGCTGAAAAAGCCAAAGAACGTAGACCGGAATACCTTAAGCTTTACACGTAAAAGGAAAAACGAAAGGATTCTGTTCATTAACGCAAGCATAAAGCTAGGTCTTCATAAAAAAAAAGTGGATCATGAAAATGAATTGAATCGTAAACGTTGTTACAAGATGTAAAATGTAATAAAAGAAATAGACAACGACCATCTTGCCAATGGGTAACCTCACAAAATTTTTAATTTTTTTTTCTTTTCGTGCATTTTTTTGTTGAGATTTTGGGTTAGGAGGTACTTTTTTATGCTAAGTTCTGTACAGAAAAATATATATGCCAGGATTACAAATTTAGGTAGGTTTAATTTTTTTTCTTCTGCCAGTTCTTAATTTTTTATACTCCCAAGTTCAAACTGATCGACACATTATTAATGAAGGTTGGTTGAAGATAGATTTTAATCAAGCTGCCTAAATGTTATCTTAGTGCATGCTCATGGAACGTGTGGATTTAGGAAGGCCTACTGATGGCGATCATGTATTTTAGCCTAGTTTTAGGCGAGGTATAAGAAAACAGGACTCTTGCGACCATATCTTTCTTATATCAATCAAGCAAAAAGCATTTTATGCAAAGGTGAAGTATATTTCTTTGTCTCTCCTGCAAAATTCTCGAAGTTAAGTTATTTACCAGTTTTTGAGTTCTGAATTATGAAAAAAGCAAAGATGTAGAGAATAGTCTTACCATGGATAGGCACTGCCTGGTGCACTGCAGTAACTAGATTTACTCATGTCACAGGGAATTTCTGCCAGAAGTCGGGCGCTGACCCGTGGTCCACAACTCTGGCCTTCCAATTCTTTGACCACCTATTCAAAAAAGATAGTTTATTAGATTAGATTAAACTTGATATTCATCATACTTTTCATTTGTAGATACTATGGTTAGTTTTATTCAACTATTCTTCCCCAAGTTTATTATTTTATAAAACTTTTTAAAAAGCCAAAAAAAAAAAAAAATCCTCTGATGGGAAAAAAGAGGGATTTTTAAGCTTTTTTTCTAGAAAAATCTGAGTCCTCGTGATATTTTCTCTTTCCCCCGCTTTTTTCCCTCTTAATTATCCTATTAATTATTACAGTCACAAGCGAGTTCAGCCATTTCTCGCTCTTTTGCCAATAATCTACAAATAAAGTTGTCTAAACTGACGTCATTTAACTTATCTGTCCACTGGCAATATATCAATAATCAATGAGCTACAGATAACAACCAATATGAATACGTTTCTATTGGGATGTGAATATGAATCGTCCAAGAGGAATGGTCATTTCAATCAATCAAACGGCATTTGATTGATTTATTTCACTCAGTGATATAGTTCAACTTTTGATTTGAACATCTCTTATGCTTATAACAATTTGTTTTCATTAATTTCTTACAACAATTCGTTCAAGTGATTAATCGTTTAACTATCGTTTGATAGAAACTATTAATTATCGTTTTACGATTAATCATTTTATACGAAATTAATCGTTCAAACTATTAATCTAGTATAATCGTTTAAACGATTAATTATTGTTTCGTTCGGTAATTAATCTTTGAGAACGTAAAAATGTTTGCGTTTAGCGACGTATAAAGGTTTGGTGTCGCATGATTTGATTTTAATGTTTTCTGTTTTAAGTCTCGTAAATATAATTTTATCTTCTTCACTCTACTCTTAAATAATGGTTTAAATTTTTTCGTTATTTGTATTTTTTGTGGGTTTTGTTTATCTCAAAAAGAGACGAACGATCGATAGGCAATAAATTATCGCTCTTGCAGTCAGAAAAAGAAACCTGTACTGTCCCGTAGCACAGAGCTCCAACTAAAATTCTAGACCTTTATCTGGTTGAAAGGTAATCAAAATTTCAATTGCAAGATCTTTCTTTTACGGACACGAAAGGAAATTATGTAAAGAGTGATAATAGTTTAATTCGCCATAAAAAATTTATTTTCAGTTTTAACCAAGAAAAGTTGCTTCTAATTTAGCCAAGTTTTAAGCACAGTATAGCTGAAGCATGGTTCTTGCACCAAGAATTTACATTGCTCACTCATTAAAGTTTATCTGGAACAAGAAAACTCAACAAGTTTAAGGTTGGCTCAAGTAATAATTAAAGCAGTTTTAATAAGTCAGTTGTTAGTAAACAGTAACGTTGATAGTAAAATTAACCATAAGAGTTTGTTGCAAATGAAAGCAAACATACTAATTTAATTTTCTTAAATTCTCCTATGTAAAAGAATAATAATAATCTTCTAACCGTCGCATTTTCATGGGGGAAGAAACCAGCGCAATATGGAGAGCATTGGCAGCAAAAGCTCAGTAACACAAATATTTGAACATGATAGTGGTGGTCGATTTAAAATTCGTAAAATAGAAGGCGATGGCAATTGTCTTTTTCGTTCTATGTCTTACCTCATTTTCGGAAAACAAAGAGAACACGAATACTTGAGAGACCTAGTTGTTAGGTATGTTACAGAACACTGGGAACAGTTTAGCGACTACAATGTAGATGAGGACATGGACTCATATAAAATCAGTATGTGTTCATTCGGTACTTACGGTGGTGAACTAGAAATTGTCGCATTTTCTAAAATATTCCAAACTCAACCAGTTGTATATTTCAAAAGTTCCCCTGAGCAAAACCCTCTTATGTTTGGCACCCATGGAGCTTTGTGCTTCTTTCTTTACAGTGGACCGAGTGATAATGGTCATTATGACGTATTGAAGCCATTAGAAACAATATGGTGTGATGCTAAGACGTATGAGCAATCCGTTAAAAAAATGAGATCGAGATGCAGAGACTCATTCCTGGAGGATTTGAAGTTCTATAAAAACGATTTGAAATCTCTATCTCGGGTTGGCTTTAAAAAAACTAGTGATATCATGACCAAACAATATGATCGTTTGACAAAAATGGCAGCTCTAGATGCTTTTGATCTAACTAAATTATAGCACAAAACAATAATATAGAAAAATTACGTTTGTTCTCTGCTTTATTTATATTCCATTTCATTTCTTTCGTTGCATAAGTAAGATGATTTGACATTAATATTACATTGGCACGATAATTTATGAAGCTCAGCTCAGCTTGTTTTAAAATTTTTGAGAAAGTTTGGAATGGAATGTCAACCAAAACGACACAGTTAAAAAATTTGTAGAATTTGGCAGCGTTGTCGCACCCCAGAAGATACAGAAAACGGTGCTCTTAACTCAATTTCGGAAAAGGATTTTTTTAAAAAAAATATTCCTTAAATAGTGATACTGGTGTAATCTTATGGAAATGCTTTTTATATTTGCTAAATATTGATTTGGGAAACATGCGAACAAGACAAATTACAATTAATGTATTCAAGTACAGAATAATGTTCATTCAAAGTATGCAATTAATATAATGAATACAGAATAACTGTAAAACTATGTTCAGTCAAAGTATGCAATTTATATAATAAATACCAAATAACTATAAAACTATGTCCAGTCAACGTATGCAGTTAATATAATAAATACAGAATAACTATTTAAGTTCTGAATTTAAAACACAAGTTTGTGGAAGAAGTTGGGATGATAACAGAGAAAAATTGTTTATGTTAAAATTTAGGTAGGGCATACATATATATATATATATATATATATACATACATACCAATGATGTTAAAACTGAACTTATTTGAAATGCACATTTTCTCAGCTTCAAAACAAGATATTTGATCATTTTTTTTCACAGAATGTTTACATATACATGTTTAGAGTGTGATAACTGGTAATACATATCGCTGATAGAATTTTTCAAAAAAAGTATGAACTAAAAACTTTCAATTTTTTAAAAAAGTTTATAAATTTTGAGCAAATATCTTGTATAACTCAAAAAGTATTTCGGTTAACTCTGAAACATTATCACAGCATACAACTGATCTCAAATATAGCCAAAATAATTCAACACAATAGCATAAGTAGTTTCTTAGAAAAGGTACATCGAAAAAGGCCAGTTTTAGCATGGTCAGTCATATGCCCTACCAACTCCCCTTAACCGAATAATTTTTAACTCTTATTTAACAGTTTGTTTATTGTCCAGAATGTAATTGTGAAACAAATTACGCGTTTGGTGAGCGATTCGAACAGGAAGCATAACCCCCGATAGTTAAATGATACAGTGGACCTTAAAAAGGATTTTTTTTCATATTTTTTTATAAATAAAAACAAACTTTTTTGTGTGTCATCTATACAAGGATATTTATGCCCAAATTTAATAAATGATGATAATAAAAAAAATTGAAAATTGATATAAACACTTTATTGAAGATAAACTTTTTTTTAATAAGATATGTTTAAAATTGCTCCGTATCTTACAGTTTGTCTTAAATATTTCATTTTTTTAAAAAAATTGTATGCATACGTATGAAAATTGTATAGGTACGATTTTGAAGAAATGTTACATGAAACATACCCTCCAACTGCTACGGAATTTCCGTAGTTTCAGAAATCTTCTTTTCAGACGGTAGCAAAATTAATATCTTAATATTTAAAAAAAATTAATTTTAGCGTAACTTGTCCACTATTACTTATAAAAGTGCAGGCCATATGGCTAGATTCTTAAGTTCTGTTAAAAGTTTTATGAGAGATCCATTTGCTTTAAAAATTTCTACTTTGGTTCGCTACCACTAGAAAGAATTATTTTCAAAATCTTCATAAGTTGGAGGGTATGCATGAAATATTTTAAGCAAAACACAATTCTGGCAACAATAGAAAGAATCTTTACTCTAAAGGAAATATTTGTTTCTCCAAAGGTTTCATTTTCATTTCTGATACGTCAGTTTCCCGATGCATCTATAACAGACGCGAAAATAAAAATAGCATGCCTTCGTTATAAATTACTTACACGTGATAAATAATCACCTATTAGTAAAAGTTAGTTTTCTTAAAATTATATTTTTTTGAGTCATTTCTCAAGTTTTAAGCCTACAAAAATTTGATTTTCAGTTTTCGAGAAACAAATACCTCCGACCAAACACCTCCACTTATTAAAAAAAGAGAAAAAAAGAAGGGAACACGTTATAGACACATTTTATTAGTTGTTGTAATTCTCCTTGGCATTAAACTTGAGAACTTGTTTCATGGGTATGAAGAAAAAGAGAAACTCATAGTTTTAGGTCAAGATGCTCGATTGGACTTTCGACCCATATTCCCTAAGGGGCCGCACATGAAGTATTTTAAAAAATTGTTTTTACATATTCGATCACAGAACATAAATAAAATTCTTTAAGCTCGTTTTCGCAGTTTTGTGACCACATTAACATTTTAAAATTTCGTGGCAATATTTAAAAAAAACTGTGAATAATTCACGTTCATTACGACAATTTATTGAAATATAATTTTAATTTATGTAGCTAGCCCCTTTCATGTTCTATCACAGAACACGAGTAAACCTTTTCAAACTCATTTTGACAGTTTTGTCTCCACATTAACAATTTAGAGTATCATTGCATTATTTAAAAAAATTCGCGAATAATTCACCTTTATTACCACAACCGCAATGCACTAAAATATAACTTTTAATTATTGATGTTGCAAACCCATTTCATATCCTATCACAGAAAATGAATAAAATTCTTTTAACTCATTTTGACAGTTTTGTCACCACGTTCATCATTTTAAAATATCGTTGCAATACTTAAAAAGAAAAGAGAAAAATAGTGAATAATTCACGTTTATTACCACAACCGCTATTCACTTAATTATAACTTTAATTACTGATGTTGCAAATCCCTTTCATTATAAGACTTTATATAATAATGCAAATTTGAAACGATTCTAGGGATTAAGACAACGGAACTTAAGGTTGTAGGCTACCTCTAGTATTAAGTTGGTTTGGAATTATTTGCGCATAAGTTAGTTGTGTGTAAACCATTAGTTGGTTAGTAAGCCATTAGTTAGTTGTGTGTATACAATTTAGCTACTTGTGTAAAGACAGTATATGATATGAATAATTACTGTCATATTATAAATTTAATTAGTTAAAGATTCAAGCTATCCTTTCCTGGTCATTATTACTGAAACATATCTGTACGCAAATGTTCAGTATAAGGTCGTACAATCTTGCTCGGGGGAAGGCCATAGAAAAATAAATTTGTTTTCGGGGCTGGAAGGAATGCTATATTAAGGGATTAACATAACTGCAATTTTTTCAAACTGCTATTAGAACTGTATTAATTTCTATTTAAAGTTAAAAGATCAAGTATCTGTTTAATATTTTTGAATTGAAGAAATATTTCTTATTCTTCTTGAATAAAATTTTATAATACGTAATTTTATATCTGTAGAAAATTTCTTTTCATTAATTTCTTCTTTACGGTGCATGGATTATACTTACATTTTTAACTTAAATAAGCTATTTGTTTTTAACATGCTTTTGTTAATGAAAAATATGTTAAAGAAATAATATACAGATTTAAAATTTTCTTTTTCTTGATTTGTACCTCGACATTTTCGATTTTTTATAAATTTAATTTCAGTTTCTTTTACGACCGGGGATGAACAACGAGGCCGACGCCTTTTTGAGTTTACGACTATCTATGTTCAGCTCCATAACTTTGTAACTTTCGAACCCAATCAACAAGAAACGGAAAATTATAGATCAAGCATTAGAACAAGTCTCCAGGACTTTTAACCCGTATTTGAGTTACACGGAGGGGAAACCGGAAATGTGAAAACCTCTCACTGTTAGCCCAACAGCAACCGTCTAAAACTAACCGTCTACATGGAGAATACTTTACAAGCTCCGGGAGCGGAATTTGCAATGACCAATAATTGCTGGGATTTGAACCTGGGTCAACTTATTGAGAGGAAAGTTCCCTATTTCCTGAGTCACGCACCACTAATAAGTTTATTGAAGTCATTTAGAAAAACAAATAAAATTTATATTTGCACCTTTCTTCCAATTATACTTCAGTTGGGAAGCAGAGGGTCGTACATTGACCATTAGAGTTCATTGACCAGATTGTGTACTCTCCATTCAGTACCTTCTGGCAGTTTAGCCATATATTTTTAAGTAATGAAAATTTGCTATAGAGGTTATTTCTTAAACGGATTAAAACTTTAATTTATTAATAGATATATTACTTTATTACTCCGTGGAAAATTGATGCCAATTATATCAACAGCCTTTTTTTACTATTTAAAACTTAAATAGCACTGCCCACTTTAACAAAAATATAAACTATGTCTGAAAATAAATTGGAGGAAGTTGTAGAGATAGCTGATGTACTTCGTGTTATTGGAACCCGTGCAAACATGAAGAGGTTTAAAGATTTAGAAATGGGATAAGATAGAAACAGAAAAAGTAGATTTTACGGATCAAAACTGCACACAGTAATGTTTAGATTTTATGAAATTACTAGTGGGCTGCGACCCCTGCTCGCTAACGCTCGCCAACCCCCGAAAATTGCTACGCAATCTTATATGGTTTGCTTCGCAAACCAAGCTCGCTTCGCTCGCTACTAGCTTAGGTGCATTGCAAATGCACAAAATTCTAAGAATTCAAAACAATCATTCAAATCCATATAAAAACTTTTTTTTTTTTTAAAAAAAATTACATCTTTTTAGTAAATACTAAGTCATTAAAATAAATTTGAATTCAAATAAATGACATGTAATTCGTTAAACCTATTAGAAATGTGCTATAGTATAATTCGTGATATAAATCAAAAATCGTCAAATAAATTTGTAATATATAAATTCGTGAAAAAAAGCATTTTCGACAAAATACTAAAATAGAAATCTATCGACAAAGACTACTCACTTCTGCATAGCTTAATAGTATGGGATTGACGCAGCTGACGCTCTCTGGTTATTTCAGTTTCCGTTTTTAAAAGCGCTATATATTGAGCCACATCAGCTAGATTTGGCATGTGACATTTTTAGCGGCAATTATTGGTCGATTCGCCGTGTAAGAGAAATAGTAACGTAAACAAAACAAAGCAAACGTTGCCACCGGCGGAAAAGAAATACAGCCAAAATTTGGGAGCCACGTAAGAGAATTATATATATTAGATTATAGATGATGTTTAGACAATGTGAAATGTTTAGATTTGATGATATAATTTATCATGCGTAATTTATGTCTATAACCAACAATAAATTTTTATGCAGAATTATTGTGATATATTTTTTTTCTTCAAAATACATCAGCTATAGCTATAGTTATTAATTATAAAATTATAGGTTAGGTTGCCATAATTCAGTCTGTTTTATTTATTTTCATGTCATGTCTTGCACACACCACAAACAAATTCGGAACTAGAATCAGGCTAATCTTCTGTTATAC